CAGAGGTCCAAGGCAATAGCATTAAAACCAGATGCTTTTGGTTTGGCATAGCCAATGTTGTATGAACTTAAAAGTTACATAATGTAATATCTTCTGTTTGTCATAGGCAGAAGCTCCTAGAGTTTTAACTCTGCTTTTCTAATTTTCCTATTGTTACTTTGAAATATTTAATATTTAATTTGATTAAAAAACTGACCAGGGGCTGGGGATATAGCTCAGTTGGTACAGTGCTTGCCTTGCACGCACAAGGCCCTGGGTTCGATCCCCAGCACCAAAAAAAAAAAAAAAGACAACAACAACAAAAACAAAACAAAACTGATCCAAACATGCTTTTGAGTTTTGAAAGTATAGTTTTTATAGGGACATTATTTAATGAACACCTAACTGTCCAACATTATTAGGTTCTGTGAAAAACAAAACTATAGTTAGTTATGTGGGCTTAGCTTTTCTGGAAGAGGATTTATGTCTTTAAGTGATGTGTAAGCTAGACGTGGAAAAAAGCCAAGGGATTAAATAGGTAAAAAGACTCCTGTTGATGAAGAAATGAAATCACCTTATTTTCACTTTAACATGAATCTTCCTAGAGATTCAAACCTCATTATTGACTGCCATACAATTTGGAAATAGAAGGGAGGGAAAGGGATAAAATAGAAGAATAAGAAAAAAACATGAGCCTGAAGAGAGAGCTGTTAAAATTCATTTAATATACATTTGCAGAACATCTAAGTTATGCCAGGCCCTAAGTAGGATTTTACAGATGAGAAAATAGGCTTAGAGAGGTCAAATAATTTATTATAATCCTACAGTTTATAAAACAATATAAAATACTGAGACATATTATCCACTGGGCTTCTCTGCCATAGACACTTGTGTCCTGGGGTTGGTTCTTGTTATAGTTGAACAACTCTATACAGTAACATCAAGAAGCCAGACAAAATAATGTGAAAGATTGCTTTCTGATGAATCCTAGGGACCTATGATCCTTTTAGCTGTTTGCTTTTCATTATGGATGATTTTGATCAATTTTTGTTTTGTTTCTTTTTCAAGTAGTTACTTATAACTAATTCTATCCAGCTTACATGGTAAGGTGGTTGCTGTCTAGAGAAACAGATCTTTGATGAATGCATGGATCCATAACCCACACCCAAAGACAGGGTCTTGCTATGTTGCTCAGGCTGGCCTCAAACTCCTAATCTCAAGCGATTTTCCTGCCTTAGCCTTCTGAAAAACTGGGATACAGGTGTGCACCAACAAGCCTGGCTTAGTCATGTGTTTTTGTAATTAGTTGTATATTTGCTTGTGCTATCAGCTAAATCTGATTACCTCTCTGTGAAATTAACTCACACTTTCTTTTCAAAGTGTTACATCTCTGACTAGAACTTTTCCAGGGATTCCCATGCACTTGGAATAAAACCTAAATTTCTTAATAAGAGCCTGCTTGGTTTAGTCTTGCCTACTTCTCCAATTTCATCTTGTCCCACTCTAAATCCTTACTGAAGGGTTTTGAATGTGTCCAGGTCTTGGCTGCCTCAGGACTTTGGAATATACTTTTCTTTGTTTTGGTAATTCCTCTTGGCGACATTTTTCATGTGATGAACTTATTTATCCTTCAAATATTAGAACAAATATTGCTTCTCAAAGATCCTTCTCAAGCTACCTAGTCTAACATAGATATCTATTATTTTTCTCCCATAGTCTTTGCCCTTTTTTTTCATACTACTTTGCACTCATTTAAATAAGTTTACACATTTTATTTCCTTCTAACTGTATATCTCTATTAGACTCTAAACTTCATAGCTGAGCATGGTGGCACATACTTGTAATCCCAGTTATTTAGGAAGCCTGAAGATCAAGGTCAGCCACAGCAATTTATTGAGGCCCTAAGCAACTTAGTGAGATCCTGTCTCAAATAAAAAATAAAAAGGGCTGAGTTTGTGGCTCAGTGCTAAATCACCCCTGGGTCAAATCCTCAGGAAAAACAACAACAGCAACAACAACAACAAAAACTCTTAAGCTCTACGAGGGCAGGGGATATGGCTATATTTAGATGTCTACTGTTTGTCTCCTAGCCTAGGGCCTGACTCTTAATAAATATTTCCCTTTATGAATACTGAGACCTTAAAATTACTAAGTATTTCGTAACCTGCAGTTTTCACACATATGCTCAATGACTCCTTATATAGTCATMCCATTATGTCTGCAGGTTCTGTATCCATGGACTCAACCAATCATGTATAAAAAATATTTGAAAAATAATTGCATATGTACTGTACACATATTGTAAAAAGGACTTGACCATCTGGAGATTTTATTATCCATGAGATGTCCTGGCACCAATCCCCAGTGCATACTGAGGCCTGACTGGATTTATTCTCTGAGATGTTTCAGGCAACATAAATATTAATGTTTCTGTTTTACAGAAGGTAAAACCTAGAGAGTTTAACTGTCTTGGCTAAAGTCACACAAGTGATGGGGCTTGGGTGGGAAGTCAGCACTTTTGATCATTTTGGTCATTGCTGTTTCTACCAAAATGAAATTATAATGGGAAATCTGTGTGGGAAAAAGAGAGTACCCAGATTGCATACCTATGAAATAATCTCATTGTCTTGACATGTAGAACTACTTTGTTATCTTTCATTTTCATGTGGATGGTATAACATTCACAATTATTTGCCGCAGTCTGGCTGGGCACAATTCAGGAGCCACTTGTCAAAAGAAACGAACTTTATTTTTAGAACCACACATGCCAAACAAAACAGCTCCTCAGGAAAAACCTTCAGAGCCCAACTGCCACCACCGGCTTCCCCCACTCCTCCTGCTCTTGAGGCCGATTGGCTGGGTCRTGTGGGCGGAGCCAAAAAAGTCCCCCAATGAGCAGCTCYGTGGTCTGAAAGGGCAGGGAAACAGCCCAATGAGCATCACCGCAGAGGAGCCAATCAGTTGGCAGCTAGAAGTTGCTGGGGCCGCTGTGAGCCAATATCATCAGCTGGCAGCTGGAAGTTTGCTGGCAGCTGGAAGTTTGCTGGGGCCCCTTCGGCTGTGGCTCTCAACAATTATTGACTTAATTTACCTTCATGTGATGGCAGAAAAAAATGGTGATTTATAAAATTTAAAATAATCTTAAACCACTGACCAAACTGAATGGAGACAGAATGTATATATATAATTTTTAAAAAATTTGTTTTAATTAGTTATACATGACACTAGGATGCATTTTGACACATTGTACACAAATGGAGCACAACCTCTCATTCCTCTGGCTGTACATGGTGCATAGTCACACCGGTGGTGTAATCATACATGTATATAGGGTAATAATGTCTGTCTCATTTCTCTATCCTTCCTAACCCTTTCCGCTTTCCCCTCATTCCCCTCGGCCCAATCTAAAGTTCATCCATTCTTCCCTACCCTCCTCCCATTATGGATCAACATCTGCTTATCTGAGAAAACATTTGGTTTTTGGTTTCTTTTGGGATTGGCTTATTTTGCTTAGCATAATATTCTCCAGCTCCGTCCATCTACCTGTGAATGCTATAATTTCATTCTTTAAGGTTGAATAATATTCCATTGTGTGTGTGAGTGTGTGTGTGTGTATCACATTTTTTTTTATCCATTTATCTGTTGAAGGGTACCTAGGTAAGCTCTTGTGAATTGAGCTTTTATAAACATTGATGTAACTGCGTCACTGTAGTATGCTGATTTTAAGTCCTTTGGATATAAACCGAGAAGTGCGATAGCTGGATCATATGTTGGTTCCATTCAAAGTTTTCTGAGAGATCTCCATACTGCTTTCCAGAGTGGTTGCACCAATTTGCAGTTCCACTAGCAATGTATGAATGTGCCTGTTTTTCCATATCCACACCAACACTTATTGTTGTTTGTCTTCTTGATAACTGCCATTCTGACATGGGATGAGATGAAATCTTATTGATTTGCATTTCTCTAATTACTAGAGATGTTGAACATTTTTTTCATATATTTGTTGATTGATTGTATATCTTCTTCTGAGAAGTGTCTGTTCAGTTCCTTCGCCCATTTATTGATTGGTTTTTTTTTTTTTTTTTTTGGTGTTAAGTTTTTTGAGTTCTTTATATATCCTGGAGATTATTGCCCTATCTGACGTGCGTGTGGCAAAAATTTGCTCCCAAAATGTGATTCTCTCTTCACTTCACTGCTGAGAAGAAAATTTGTAGTTTGAATTCATCCCATTTATTGATTCTTGATTTTACTTCTTATGCTTTTGGAGTCTTGTTAATGAAGTCAAGTCCTAAGCCAACATGATGAATATTTGGGCCTACTTTTTCTTCTATTAGGCACAGGGCCTCTGTTCTAATGTCTAAGTCTTTTATCCACTTTGAATTGAGTTTTGTACATGGTGAGAGGGGTTTAATTTCATTTGCTACACATGAATTTCCAGTTTTCCCAGCACCATTTGTTGAACAGGCTATCTTTTCTCAAATGTATGTTTTTGGCAGCTTTGTCTAAATGAGATGACTGCATTTATGTGGGTTTGTCTCTGTGCCTTCTGTTCTGTACAATAGGTCTACGTGTGTATTTTGGTGCCAATACCATGCCATTTTTGTTACTATAGTCCTGTAATATTATTTAATTTCTGGTATTGTGTTGCCTGCTGCTTGACTTTAAAAAAAAAAAATATATATATATATATATATATATATATATATATATATTAGTTGTTAATGGACACAGTACATTTACTTTATCTATTTTTATGTGGATTGAACCCAGTAACCCAGTGCCTCACGTGTGCCAGTCCAGCACTCTACCACTAAGCCACAACCCCAGCCCTGCTGCTTCACTCTTCTTGCCAAGGATTGCTTTAGCTATTCTGGGTCTCTTATTTTTCCAAATGAATTTCATGATTGCTTTTTTAGTTCTATGAAGAATGATATTGGATTTTAATAGTAATTGCATTAAATATGTATAACACTTTTGATAGTATAGATTTTTAATTTAGAAACCTGGTCTTTTCTCTTAAGAGACGGAATGAATATATTGCTCACCTCAAAGACCAACTGCAAGAGATGAAGGCAAAAACCAACTTGGAGAATCTCTACATGAAAAAAAACACTGAGCTTCAGATTTCCCAGACCCAGAAAAAATGTAACAAAACAGAGGAACTCTTGTTGGAAGAGATTGAGGTAATTACTGCTACATTAGGAAAAACAGATTGGTTGGGGTTGTAGCAAAATGGTAGAGCACTTGCCTGGCATGCACCAGGACCTGGGTTCAATCCCCTACTAATAGACAACCATTTGAATTGTCATTCCTGGTATAGTCTCACCCAAGAAAGGAAGGGGCAGAGGTAATTTTCTTCCATCTCCTCAACCCTTAGGGTTGAAATTAAAGACTATACAAGGTTTTGAATATTTGCAAGCAGAGATTCTGATGGGTAGACCTTTATTTGAGAGGAAAGGCTGGGTAGTTAAAGGAATAGCCAGCAGGCCAGAAGGAGGAATAGCCATTACTAGCAGGTACAAGGATTCCTTTTTCTGAGACCTCTACTAATGGGGAGAGGTCCTTCCCATGTGGTGTTTCCAACCCTGTCAACACACTTTTCTGGGCCTAAGAAACTTGTGTCCTTGAAGCATTGTTCTTTAAATTGACATCTCTTTCCATTTTATTCTGGGGCCCTTGTATGTACCTGGCACAATGCTAGGACATGGCTCTGCGTTGTTTGTGAACTCGAATGGAGTTGAGTGGAACCAAATGGCAGCTCTGGAGCAATGCATTAGCATTTCTGGGATCCCTGCTGGAAAAAGAATCCTGAACTGCTACTCTGGAGCCGCAGTCACCTGAAAATTTCTGATTTCCAACCTTGCCAGACAGAATTCCTGATATATGATTCTTGTTTTTCTAGAAATTAAGAATGAAAACTGAAGAAGAGAACCGAATTCATATGGAGATTGAAATGTTCCTTAGAAAAGAGCAACAGGTAAGTCACCAAAATGTTTTTATCCCCTGATTAAAATTTTTTTTCACTTTAAAAGAGCAAAAAACTTGTAGTAGAAAAATTAACCATAATCTTAGCAGTCTAATGAATGAACTATAGCTTATATATCCTTACAGAGTTACCCACCAGAACAGTTATTTTTTTTGTTCTTCTTTTTTAAAATTTATTGGTTCTTTTTTAGTTATTCATGACAGTAGAATCCTTTTTGATAATAATTATACAAGCATTGAATATTCTAATTTGGGTTGCATTCTTGTGGATGTACACGATGTGGGCTTCACTCTATTGTTTTCATATATGTATATGAAAAAAATTATCTCAGATTCATTCCACTGTTGAATAGTTATTTTATATACCTCTAATTTGAGGACAGGTAAAATTTTGTCTCTTGCCTTTATAATTTAACTTATATAAGAAACTCTGTTTCTTGTTTCTATAATGCTTTGTAGTCATAATTTTAAAAAAATGTTTTTTAGTTTTTTAAATTATAAAAACAACATTCTCAATTGAGGGAAGTTTTCTTTTTTAAGTTACCAATTGTTTTTTCATTCATTTTGTTTATGTTATTACAGTCTCTCTTTTTTAAATTTTTAAAATTTGTTCTAATTAGTTATATATAACAGAAGAATGCATTTGACACATTGTACACAAATGGAGCACAACTTCTCCTTCCTCTGGCTGCACATGTTGTAGAGTCACACCAGTGTTGTAATCATACATGTATGTATACACAGGATGATAATGTCTGTCTCATTCCACTGTCCTTCCCATCCCTATACCTTCTGCCCTCATCTCACTCCCTTCTGCACAATCCAAAGTTCTTTCATTCTCCTCCCACCCCCATTATGGATCAGTATCTGCTTATCTGAGAAAACATTAGGCCTTTGTTTTTTTGGTATTGGTTTATTACGTTTAGCATGATATTCTCCAGCTCCATCCATATATCTGTAAATGCCATAATCTCATTCTTCTTTAAGGCTGAGTAATATTCCATTGTGTATATGTACCACATTTTCTTTATCCATTCATCTGTTGAAGAGCAGGTTGGAAGAAATGATTTACAGTAGAAGGGGTAGAGAGAGAAAAGGGGAGGGGAGGGGAGGGGAGGGGAGGGGGGGGGGGATAGTAGAGAATAGGACAGACAGCAGAATACATCAGACACTAGAAAGGCAATATGTCAATCAATGGAAGGGTAACTGATGTGATTCAGCAATCTGTATACGGGGTAAAATTGGGAGTTCATAACCCACTTGAACCAAACCGTGTAATATGATGTATTAAGAACTATGTAATATTTTGAAAGACCAATAAAAAAAAAAAAGAGCAGGTTGGTTTCGTGGCTTAGCTATTTCAAATTGAGCTGCTAAAAACATTGATGTGGCTGCATCACTATAGTATGCTGATTTTAAGTCATTTGGGTATAAATCAAGGAGTGGGATAGTTGGGTCAAATGGTGGTTCCATTCCTAGTTTTATAATTGTATATATAATTGTATAACTTTACAATTGTATATAATTGTTTTATAGATGTATAATTGGAATAAATGTACTTTCAGGCCATTATGATAGTAAGGGCAAAGTGGGAGTCCTGGGACTTCCTTTTCTTACTAATATATTAAAGGCATTGCTGCAACCCTGATGGAACCGTAGATTAGTGATAACATCAAGAACTTGAAGCTGGGCGTGGTATCGCATGCCTATAATCCCAGTGGCTTGGGAGGCTGAGACAGGAGGATTGCAAGTTCAAACACAGCCTCAGCAAAAGCAAGGCGCTAAGCAACTCAGTGAGACCCTGTCTCTAAATAAAATACCAAATAGGGCTGGGGATGTGGCTCAATGTCAAGTGTCCCTGAGTTCAATCCCTGCTACAAGGAAAAAAAAATACAAAAAACTTGAAAGAAGCAGGAGTGATGATGCTTAACACACCCCCATTTGACTCATCTGTTTGGCTTGGGTAGAAGTTGAATGGATCTTGGAAAATGACAAGTAATCAAGTAGTGATGTTGCTTGTAACTACTATTCACACGTAGTATCTTTACTGGGACAAATCTTCAATGGCTCCTGGTACTTGGTATGAAAGTTGTTAACCTGATTAAGGCCCCTGTCTCCAAACCAGTTTGAAATCAACCATAACAACAAAATGCACACACATACAAATAACAACAACAACAACAAAGACACCACCAGGAGCAGTTTGCTTTCACTTGGCATGGCCAATGGTACACCTTTATAGTCTGATTTCAGGATTATGTCAATTATTCTGTTCTCTTCTGTAATGGCCTACATAGAGATTGCTTACTTTGACTTTCCACAAAACATGGCAGTAGCCCACTGCATTAATGACATTATGCTGATTGTATCTGATGAACAAGGAGTAGCAAGAGTTTAGATGACTTTTAGTAAGACATGAACTAGAAGGTGGGAGATAAACTCCATTTCTGGCACCAATGATGTTTTTTTCATATATTTGCTGAAGTTGAGTCATGTATTTAAATTGTTTTTTTAAGTTACAGATGTATATAATACCTTTGTTTTATTTTATTTTATGGTACTGGGGATTGAACTTAGGGGCACTAAATCACTGAGACACATCCCCAGCCCTATTTTGTATTTTTATTTAGAGACAGGGTCTCACTGAGTTGCTTAGCACCTCGCTGTTGCTGAGGCTGTTATCTGGAACTTGTCATCCTCCTGTCTCAGCCTCCCGAGTCTCTGGGATTATAGGTGTGTGCCACCTTGACGGCTTTGTTTCATTTTTATTTATTTTTATGTGGTGCTGAGGATCAAGCCCAGGGCCTTACATGTGCCAGGCAAGAGCTCTACCACTGAGCCACAACCCCAGCCCCTGAGGTTGCATTATCTTTAAACTCTTGAGATCAGCCATAGCTGGTCATAGTGTATCTGACATGAAGTAATGCTACTGGTGGTATCAGTAAAACATGTTGGTGAACGGGTATCATTGTGTGTTCAACCATATAGGATGAGCAGTGTGCCCTAGGTACCCAGAAAAGCATTCCAAAGCCATGGAGAAACTAGACTTCCCGTCGGGTCCTCTAGCACCCTCTGCTGACAAAGTTAAACATTTTGCTAGGTGGCCAAAAAATGTTTAGGATCATCCAGTTTCACAGGGCAAGGCAGTGGAGGATGAATTTGGAACTGAGAGGCAACACACTGATAACAGCACAAATGGGGAATGTTTTCCTTTTATCATTAAGGATGAGATTTACTCTGTAGGTTCCTGGTATATAAATTTTATTAAGGAAGTTTCTTGCTAACATTTTTTATTTTTTAAAATCAATGAATAGTCAATTTTATGAGATGACTTTTTTCATCCATTGAGATAATTTATTTTCCCTTTAACAGGTTAATAAAGTAAAAACACATTAATATATTTACTGATGATGACTCATGTTTATTTTTTTGGATAAACCTTACCTGGTAATAATTTAATATAGTTAACATATTAATATATAATAAATTAATACATTTAATAATAGACCTCTAGAATTGATTTATAGACTATAGATTTCTTTTTTGCTATTAGAGTTAATATTAGCTTGGCGCAGTGCAAGGTGGAAGTTTTCTACCTTTTTATGCTCTGAAATTTAAAATATAAATGGAACAAAACAGATTATACAGTCCTTAAAGCTTGGTAAAATTCAAACAATTTTTTAAGGATCTCTCTCTTTCTATCTTTTCTTGGTATCTTTTTTTTAAGGGGGGAGGTATTTGTCTGCCTTTTCAGCTTTTTAAAAAAAATATTATTCATCTCTCCACTTACCAAATCTCTTTCTCTCTTCTCTCTCTCTTTTAAAGATATGTCACCAATGACTGGTATCTTTATTTACTTAAAAAGGTTTTTATTTTTTATTTGCCAATGGACTTTATTTTATTCATTTATTCACATGTGGTGCTGAGAATCAAACCCAGTGCTTCAGCCATGTGCAGCAAGGGCTCTACCATTGAGCCACAACCTCAGCCCACCGAATATCTTGTTTTTATTTTGGTGCTGGGGATTGAACCCAAGGGAAGTGCAAGGGAAGCATTCTACAAAAAAACTGAGCTGCATCTCCAGGTTTTTTGTTTTTGTTTTGATACGGGGTATTGAACCCAGGGTATTTAACCACTCAGCTACATTCACAGTCCATTTTATTTATTTTTGTTTTGAGACAGTGTTTCACTAAGTTCCTGAGGATGACCTCACACTTTTGACTCTTCTGCCTTAGCTTCCTGAGTTGCTGTGATTGGAGTTGTGTGCCACCATGTCTGGCTTTGAGTAATTTTTTGTAACTTGTCTTCCCAAAACACTTGATTTTAAGTGTTTTCAAGCTGTGCTCTACAGTCTCTTCCAAGTTTTAAATTTCCTCTATTTCTGTAGTTATGTTTTTCATCTTTAAAAATTTTGTTTCTTTTCTCCCTTTGTCTTACTGAAACTTACCACAGGTTTGCTATTTTATTGGTCTTAGCAAAAGACTGGCTTTTTCTTTTATTGAGCAGATTTTTTTTTTCCTTGTTACATTGGTTTTGGCTTTAATTTTGAGTAAATTTCTTATACCTTCTTTGAGCTTATGTTGCTAATCTTTATTGTTTCCTAAACACTTAATTTGTTTTCAAATTTTATTATTTTCTAGTAAATGCATGTAAAGCAATATATTTTTAATAAAACAATATATTTTCTGAGTACTGTTTGACTGTTGTTGATGGGTTTTGAAATAATCTTTACATTATCATTCCTTTACAAATGATTTGTAGTTCACAATTTTCTAGTTGTCTTTAGCAAAAGTTATTATTTAAAGAGATGTTTCTTTTTTTGAATTTTTTAAATATTTATTTTTTAGTTTAGCAGTGTATGTGGTGCTATCTTTGTGGTGCTGAGGATCAAACCTGGGCCGCACACTGGTGTGCTAACGCTTGAGCCACATCCCCAGCCCCTAAAGGGATGTTTCTTAAATGTCCAAGTAGATAGAGTTGGCAAGGGAGGAGTGCAGATTTTCTGTTACTCACAAAAACCTTAGATGTTTGTGCTGTGAATCTCACCACACCCAGTTGATGTCTTGGATTGTGTCTCCTAATGTAAAGTGTAAATTTGCTTCTTGGAATTTATTGAGCTTTCATTTGGGCTTAGTACATGCTTATGTGACTATTCTATGGGTACTTGAAAAGAATGTATATTCTCTGTTAGGTTCTAAATTTCTTTTAGTCTAGCTGTCAAATGCTTCATATTACTTATTTTGGTCTACTTGAGCTATTGATTTCAGAAAAATAGCTTCCTAATATAATTGTGGATCTATCAATCAGTTTTTCCATATGTTGGATCATTTTCACTTTCTAATATTCCAAAATATTATTAGAATATTAACACTCATAACTATAATATTTTTAAATTAAAAAAAAAATTTTGGTGATACTGGGGATTGAACCCGGAGGTCATCTAACTTTGAGCCAAACACCCAGCCCTTTTTATTTTATTTTGAGACAAGGTCTTGCCAAATTGCCAAAACCAGCCTTGAACTTGTGATCTCCCTGTCTTTTAGCCTCCTAAATAGTTGGGATTACAGGCATGCACCACCATATCCAATTTATAATATCTTCTTGTTTTTTATTATACATTTTTGTTGGTGCATTATAGCTGTACATTGTACATAATGGTGGGATTTTTTTTGTACAAATTCATACATACACACAATATATATAATTAGGCCAGTGTCACTCCCCAGCACTTCCCCCAGCTCCCCTCTTCCTCCTCCATTATCCCTTTGCTCTGTTCTAATCCTCCCTTTTCAATGGGAATCCCCCGCCCCAATCCTTTCCCTTTTCCTTCCCTAGCTTCCACATGAAAGAAAACATATGATTCTTTTTTAATAAGTTTTTAATATTTATTTTTTAGTTGTAGGTGGACACAATATCTTTATTTTATTTTTATGTGGTGCTGAGGATTGAACCCAGTGCCTCGTGCAAGCTAGGCGAGCATTCTACAACTGAGCCACAACCCAAGCCTCTGATTCTTTTTTAAATAATGAGTTTATTAAAGAATGTTAAGAAGGCAACAACTTTTGTCATTAAAAAAATTATGTTTCTTTATGCTATATAACAATGGTAATGTAAGAGAATATAGTTACAAGCTTCTTTTTGCTGGAATTCTCTCATAGTACAGTACAGTGTAATCATTTATGCAATGCTAGAATAAATTTTTAAAAAGTCTCTTCTTTGCTTCTCTTCAAAAAGTGATGAATAATAACAGAAGATGGCCTGAAAAAGTCCATTTTTTAAAATTTATTCTGTAGTATTGGAGCCAGTATTTTTACCATCACAGTCTACAATTTTCACTTTATCCATTTTAATAAGTTCTGTCACCTCTCTGAATTCAACATCATGCAATACAAGTCTACACATTATTGCAGAATCTGTATGTATTTACAGAACCTCTGAAATTGACTCTGTTCCTGACCCTCTGAGCCAATGATAATTTATAGCCTTATCAAACTGAAGCAGAACTTGAAGGGCAAGTTGGGGGGATGATCTGTTGAGACTATATGAGCTCATCTAGGCTCTCCTGAAGACTGTTCCCCAAAGTGGTATTTCTGTATAACTAATAGGCTGATTCCATAGTTTGGTTATTGTGAATTGTGCTTCTATAAACATAGACATGCATGTATCATTTTAATATGATGATTTTAATTCTTTAGGATAAATACTAAGGAGTGGTATAGCTGGGTCATGTGGTGGTTCCACGCCTAGTCTTTTGAGAAACCTCCATACTGATTTCCATAGTGATTGTACTGATGTGCAGTCCTGTTAGGATGGCCTTAGGCCTAAGCCTAAGCAACTCCATTTTAAAAACTTAATTTTAAAAGACTTGCAGGCACACTCACAGAGCCCTCCAGTATGCCCCCAGGCAAGTTACTTCCCCTCACTCTGATAACAGAGTGAAGCCCCTGGCAGGCTGTCCTCGCCTGATAAGAGAAAAAGGTGAGAAGGTCAGGGTGGAGACCACCAGACCAGTTGGTGGTAAATGATGTCACTGAAAAATCTGGTGGTAGCTGATAAGGATTGGAAGGGGGGGTCAAAAGCCCCCAAATTTAGTGTACATCATAGAGCAAATAAACAGGGATTCAGCCAGCCGAAACAAGGATGCACTTTTTATTTCCTTGCCTAATTGCTCTGGCTAGAATTTCTACCACTATATTAAATAGGAGTAGTGAGAGTGGACAAACTTGGTTTTATCTCAGAGATGCAAGGATGGTTTAACATATGTAGATCAAGAAGTGTAATTCATCACATAAATACAAGTTAGGACAAAATCACCTAATCTCTAAAGAGATACAGAGAAAGTGTTTGACAAAAATTCAACACCTATTCATGATAAAAACACTGAAGAAACTAGGAATAGAAGAAACTTATCTCAACATCATAAAGGGTATAATGAAAAACTCAAAGCCAACTTCATAGTAAATGGGGGAAAACTGAAAGCATTTCCTTTATATTCTGGGGAAAGACAAGGATGTCCACTCTTAGTATCTAACTAGTGGCAGATAGCTTAAATATACATTTTCTGTTTCTTATACATATCTCTTTCATTTTCTTTTGCAACAGTGCATCTTTGAATACCTTTCAGAAATGAGGTATCATCTTTCCATCACATTTCAATGCTAGGTTCTAGGTATATTTTCTTAGACTCATATTCATTTCTTTTAGAATTTTGAAGACATTGCAGTCTTCTTGACTAGTATTTAGTGGCTGTCAGTCAAAGAGACATCTGATGTCATTCTTTATCCTAGAGAATTTGCTACTTACTTTTTTCTTTTTTTTTCACTGCAACTTCCCTTTCCCAGATATCAGGAAGTCCTCTTTCTATTTTTAATCGAATAATATACAGTAAAGTGCACAAATATTGAGAGTATAATTTTACATTTACATATATTCACCCATGTAACCACCAGCTAGATTCAGAGAAACAGCATCCCAGAAGTCTCCCTCATGCCGCATTTCCAAACAATAAAGCATCCATCCCCAGATAAGTAACCATTGTTCTATTTTCTGTCACTATAGAAAAGTTATTTTTTTCTTGAATCTTATATAAATGACATCATAAAGTATATACTGTTTTGTATCTGGTAGAAACCATGTTTTAATGTTCTTTCCAAATAGAAACTTGAGGAGAAACTGGAATTCTGGATGGAAAAATTTGATAAAGACACAGAAATGAAACAGAATGAATTAAATGCTCTCAAGGCTGCAAAGGCCAGTGACTTAACACACCTTCAAGACCTAGCGAAGATGGTAAGGAAGAAGTGGACAGGTGGTCCGAGAAGTGGTGGTAGCTAAGCTACAGTAGTTGGGGATGCTTTTTTTTTTTTTTGGTCAGGTAGAGGTGTGCATGTAAACTTGGTAGGACTGTCCTTAGAGGATGATGATGGTGATGATGGACAGTAATAACAGCTAGTATTTGTATAGTGCTTACTCTGTTTCAGGCACTGACTATTGTGGCTGTTTTAAGTACAACTTGCTTAAATCCTACAACCCTGCAAAATACATAGATATTGTACTATTCTACTTTATGGTCTCTGAAGACAATTTATAACTGATTTCTTTTTTTTAAATTTTTTTGTCTTAATTGGTTACACATGACAGTACAATGACCTTGACATATCATACATTTGAATCACATGGGATACAATATCTCATTTTTCTGAGTATACAGAAATCACACTGGTCATGCATTCACATATATACACACAGTAATAATAGTGTCTGTTTCATTCTACTATCCTTCCTATCTCCAAAATCCCTCCCCTCCCCTCCCACCACTTCTCTCTCCCTAATCTAGGGTAACGCTATTCTTTTTTTCCCCTCACATCTTCATACATGTATTTTGTATAACAATGAGGGTCTCCTTCCACCATCCATGGAGTTCCTTTTTTCCCTCCCTTTCCCTCCCACCCCTCTTTCCTATGTAGAGGTAATCTTCTCATGCTCTTCCTCTCTTCCCCATTTTGAATTTCTCTGATTTCTAAAAAGCTTTCTTATGTTTTTATTAATGAATGAGTGTAGAGGTTCCTAAACTTCTCTTTTAAAAGAGCCATTTAAATAAGCATATTATACCATTTTAAAAAAAAACTAATTATTTTGAGGTCACTATTTACACATTTGAGTTAATTACTATTTCACTTTTCTGAAAGATTTTTAAATTTAAAATATCAAACTGAAAAAAATTTAATGTAAATATCCTAAGAATCTAGGAAGTTTTTTTCCTTTGGTTTATGTTTAGATCTATTAAAAGTACAGAGTTGACTGGGCCAATAGCTTAGTCAAGACCACACTGTAACAAATGATTAATGTCTGCTTTTGTAGATAAGGGAATATGAACAGGTCATCATCGAAGATCGTATAGAAAAGGAGAAGACCAGGAAGAAGATAGAACAGGATGAATTGGAATTGAGGAGTGCCATAAAGGTAGAAAACTGTAGTTAGCATTTTGGGGTCATGTCAGTGCCACAGCTGGTATAGGAATGAAAGCATTCTCATCCATTATCAAATACATAGCAGCTTTCTATGGAACAGATCTGAAGAGAAACAAGGCTTTTTGTTCTTATTAGAATTTGTCAACAGTCCATAGAGCAGAACAGGGAGACAGGTGACTTAGAAAAGGACACACCACAGCTCTTATTCTAGAGCAAAAGAGATAGGTGGTTGGCAGTGGGAGCAAAATCTAGATCCACAGGGCAAATTTGGGAATACTACTTCTAACCAAAACCAGTTCTTGACACAGTGATTCTTTTGAATCGCCTATTGTTTCTCAAAAGATGTTTTTAAATAAGCAGAGACTATTTGCTATGTTCTGATATAAGCTGCTTTCAAAAAAAGAGATAGGCAGGTTAAAGAAGAGACATTTTAGTTATATATGAACTAGTGTGTATGTTAGTAATGACAAAATTAGAAGGTCACAGATTCTGGGAAATATTTTCAAGAAAACTGTAATATAAAAATATGATCAGCTGGACTGAAACTGCTGTCTGGAGAATCATCCATCTCTCTGAAAGAGGAGCATCTGCCAAGAGCCTAGGGGGCAAACTATAGTTTGGCTTATATATTAGAGGATGCACTAAAAAAGGAAGCTGTAAAGGACATTCAGATATCCAAACCCAAGATATATAATTAGCAAGTATTTATCAAGCTTCTATGGGGTTTTCCAATTTGTCAAAATTCTTTTAGAGTATAAATGTAAGAACTAGCTGGAGACTACTTTTGTTTTAATTAGTAGATTTGCTCCTAGTTCTTAGGGCTTAGTCTGATTTTAAAGTAGCTTAAGCCAGGCGTGGTGGTACACACCTGTAATCCTAGTGGCTCAGGAAGCTAAGGCAGGAGGATCCTAAGTTCAAAGCCAGCCTCAGCAACAGTGAGGTGCTAAGCAACTCAAGGAGACCCTGTCTCTAAATAAAATACAAAATAGGGTTGGGGATGTGGCTCAGTGGTTGAGTGCCCCTGATTTCAATCCATGGTACCCTCCAAAAAATAAAGTAGTATAGACTTTATTTTTGGTCCTAGGAATTGAATCCCTAAGTTGCTTAGGCCTTCACTAAGTTGCTGAGACTGGCTTTGAACATGTAATAATCTTGCCTCAGCCTCCCTAGTCACTGGGATTATAGGTTTATGTCACCACACCTGGCTTTAAATTCTTTTTGAAAACAAGAGGATTGACCCTTTAGTGAATTCCTAAAGATAAGAATGGATGTAGTGGTGCATGCTGGTAATCCCAGCTCCTTAGGAGGCTGAGGCAGGAGGATCACAAGTTTGAGGCCAGTCTCAGAAATTTAACAAAAGACTTTCAAAATAACAAAGGGTTGAAGATGTAGCTCAGTGGTACAGCACTTACCCAGTATGTGCAAGGCCCTGAGTTCAATTCCCACTCAACACTACAAAGAAAGAAAACAAAACAAGAAACCCCCCGCCAAAAGACAAAATACCAGGAAGTCTATTAAAGTTGTCTAGACTTATTCATACATTTTTGACAGAGTCTAACATCTCTTTTGGATCAAGTCATTGTTAGGTATGGGAAGCTTGGACCTTCATAAGGGAAGCAGTACCAGGGAGTCATGTTTCTGATATGAAGGAACAACTGGCCTAATCTGATTTAATTTTACTCCAGAAGAACTTTGCTTTTGAGGCCATGGCTGAAGCTCTGAGTCCTGCACAGTATGGGAGCCTTAGTAGTGATAGTGTGCCTGGAACTTCCATGTCTCAGATGGAAACCACTCTGATATAGGTTACTGTGTTGAACAATCCCCTTCGGAGAGTCAGGCATACTGAGTTGTACTTCTTCCCATTTCTCTTCTAGCTCCAGGCATGGTGGCGAGGCACTGTGGTAAGGAGGGAAATTGGAAGTTTCAAAATGCCTAAAGACAAAGATGATAGCAAGGATGCAAAAGGTAAAGGTAAAGGTAAAGGTAAAGGTAAAGGTAAAGGTAAAGGTAAAGGTAAAGACAAGGACAAACGAAGAGGCAAGAAGTGAATAAGCCACCTTTTATCCCTTCCTGTGATGTTCTGGAGATGAGAAGGAAGACTTGGCCATCACAAATACTTCACTACAGGTTGTTTATGCAGACATAAACAACAGTTTATGCAGATCGCCAGATGATTTCACTTTGTATTAGTTTTCAATCTGTGAATTAGCTATTGAATTTGTGTTTCTTCATATTTTGATTTTGATGTGAAGAACAGTTTTGAGTAGACTTGTAAAGATCTTGGTCTTCTCACCAGAAAAGAGTTCTTGGGCTTGGTTACAGTGATGCATTAAAACTTCAGTAATTCCTGTAATGTCTCAGATTCTGATTTTTTTCTAATTTGTCTAAAGTGAAAAAAACTCATATGAGCAAAAGTGAAGTATTTGCAGAAATTACAAGGTGATGTTTTATAAAGTCATGTAGCATAACATACACATGGTAAAATATAATGAGTGTTGATTCCTCTCTTTAGATTTTTTATTATCACTTTAGTGTTTTCATGGCTGGTGGTGGCATGGAATATACACCTTATGATGATAAACTGTTCCCACAGCTTTTCTGGGAATAAGTAGGGATATAAGTTATAAATACAAGATTGAAGTGGAATGTTAGAATACATAGCCCACAAATGGTAAAGATGAGGTACAGGTTTTCTGGAAGACTAATTTGCAGTATGTAAAAACCCAGCCTATGCCTGACACATAGTAAAGCTGTCATTCTCCCTCTTAAAAAACAATAAGACAGGGCTGGGGAAATAGCTCAGTTGGTAGGGTGCTTGCCTTGCATGAACAAGGCCCTGGGTTCAATCTCCAGCACCACAAAACAAACAAACAATGAGACCATGAGGTCATTCTTGCCTTGATTAATTAAAACAAAATATTGGGTACAGTGCAGCTGATCATTTCTGAGAGTAAAGTTGTCCTAATGTGTCACATATTTCATGAATTAATCCTTCTGTCCAGCTCTAATTATAGGGAAGTCTTGATATCTCCACTTCCTTAGGAAAGTAAATTTTAATTTCAAAGGCCTATTTTAATAAAATTATGTTCATTGGTGTTCCTTCAGAGAATTTAGAGACACCCTTTCCTTGATTCTTCTTTGCCAAAGAAACCAAGCTACTTTAGATACGCACACTTTCAAATGTTTATTACAAGTTACTAAAGTGTTGGTTTTTATTTTAATGTCAATGTGTAAGGTGACATACAGGCAATTTAAAATAACATACATGATATCGACATATTTATACTTAGAACTTATGCAATATATTTACATACAAATATAGGACAATGTTTTACAAAATCTTTTACTAATTACATGTTTGTAACATTTTCAGAAATAAAATGAAATCTGCTGTAAACCATCTCACTGCAATGTGTATATAAAAAAGGCTTCTAAATATCCATGTTTTCCTTCATTTCTATAACCACTTAAGAACTTAGTTTAAAAAAAATTCATCAGACTCATCAGTATCATCACACATCATTAGTCACTGCTGACTGGAGGAAGCAAGAGAAATTACAGACTCCTTGATTAGGTGTAAGGCTGTATTTTAGAAAGCTGTTAAAGAAAGTGACCTAGTACTAAGCCTTTTCCTACTCTGTATTCTAGCCAGATAAAATCCCCTCCTCCCACGAGATGTTTCCAGACCTAGTTATTACAAGAGAATATTGGTTTGAAGTGTTTAAGCAGAGATGCATTTCGAACCCTGGAAACTGCTGACATAAAATCTCTGTGGGTGGCAAGGGCTGCACCAGGTAGGACTTGGTCTGTTCACACTTCCAGTAGTGGGAAGGTCACTGCTTCAGGTTGGGAAGGAGTGTGACAAGGCTACTTTCATCTTACATTGGAGTCTAGCAAGGTTGAATGTTAAACTGAATTGTTCTTTCCAGTTTAAAATCAATACTTGATATTTTTCTTCATTCTCAGTCAAAACTGTACATCATTTTTTCTAATAATTCAAATACAAATTTGAATTAGCTTGATAAAAATACACCAAGGTTTCATATTATGTGCAAAATCTGAAATAAGTTGAAATCTAGCTCCACTTATTCCTATAGAAAAATTAGTTGCAGATATTGCAAGTGCTACATTATGTAATATCTTCTATACTTATGCACCATATAATATGTTAAAGTCTACAATTTGGAGATTGTACTGAGGTTTAATGGTTCAACGTTGACTAGAAGGAAAAATATCTGTAGTTAAAAAACACAGCTAAACAAGTTATATGGTTGGTGAGTCTATTTGGAATTGTAACTCTAATGGGGTCTGGCTTAAGCACTTATGACATTTTTACTTTTGTTCTGTGAGGACCTCGAAGGATTGGGCTTTGGAGTTTAGGTGTTTTATGTATATATGTAACATATCCATATATATCCAGTGCCAAAATATATATGTATATACACTTGTGTGTATATATGTATATGTATGAATGTATACATACTTATGTGGTTTAAACTTGAATTAAAGGCTCCTGGTTTTGTGTCGTATACATATACATGTATACACATACATACATATGTGTGTGTGCATATATATTTTTTGGTATTGGAGACTGAACCCAGGGATGCTTTGCTCCTGAGCTACATCCCCAGCCCTTTTGATTTTTGAGACAGGATCTCACTAAGTTGCTTAGGGCCTTGCTAAGTTGCTAAGGCTGGTCTTGAATTTTGAATCCACCTGTCTCAGTCTCCTAAACTACAGGGATTACAGGCGTGCACCACTGTGCCCGGCTATGGTACATAATTTTAAACTTGGACAAAATGGTAATGTTCTAATGAACCCAAATCTGTGCAGGAATAAGGAAAAAACAAACATTATTTTGACCAAATACTCAAAATGATTTTGTCCAAAACTATTTTTAGATGCTGCATTCACATGATAAAGAAGGAAAACATTTATGTTAAATGCATGCAATGATAAAGAAAATCCAAAATAGTTAATAAGTAGAGAAAAAAAATCCCTATATAACTAGTATCTTTACTTACTCTATTTATCTGGTTTACAAAGGCAGTCAACAGCAAAAGATATCGCTGACAACTAAAAAGGGCTCAAAATACAGGGAAGAAAAACCTATGTGGTTTAAACTTGAATTAAAGGCTCCTGGTTTTGTGTTGTGTGAGCCAGTGGTCCTTTCCCTCCACCCACAATTGGGTATATAAGGCACTAATGGTGGAGCTCAGTGAGGGTAAGACAAAGACAGGAAGCAGTTTTTAAGATGCCCTAAGTGCTTTCTTTCAGTCATGGAAACTGGCAGTTAACCTGTAAGAATATAAAGAATGTGGCTTTTTTCTTCCTTTTCATTTGCTTTTTCATAATCTTCCATTAGATGGGGAGCTGGATGTGTTACACTGCTGTGACTGGAATGTGTCTGCAGGTCCAGGTGTCCTGGGAGCAGCTTGGGGCTAAGGGTGGCTCATTGAAGTTCATGCAAATGATTCAGAGTGGTACATGTTACCAGCTTAAGGACTTGGAATCCCAGGATAGAGTGCTTATTTGTTTAGATAATAGCAGGATGATGCATAGAACCATCCTCAGGAAGAAGTTGATGTAGTAATGGGCTGGAGTTGGAGGGAGGCTTAGTACACTGGCTTCAAATACAACAGTATCGTTTCTCTGTTTAGGTATTTAAAATCTAGGCCTTCTATATTATTTGAATTTTGCCTTTAACAGAATAGTCTATGTCATCATAATACAGCTTTTGATTTTTAAATGTGGCTTAAAAATGCAGGGGGCAGGCAGTACCTCCATAGAACCACACAACTATCTGGCTTGGAGCAGAAGTCTCCACTAATTAAAAATGGGAATGTGTTGAAAATGCAGATTTCCAGGCCTCACCCCAGACCTAGTGAATGTGAATCTGTATTTTAACAAATGCTCCAGGAAATTCTAAATGCATAGCTGTTTAGAATTCAGTGAACCCTAGATGTCTTGGGAACTGGTAAAGATAATAGCATGTCTGTGCCTTCATGAGAGCCAAATATCTTAGAAGGTATTTGCTGTGGTGTTTGAAATAAGCCTCTAGGAAAGCACAGCCAGTTTAGACTTCAGTGTTGGGTTCTCAATAATGAGAAGTTTCATGTGAGAAAACCAACTGGGTCTTAACCAAAAAAAAAAAAAAAAAAAAAAAATCAGTGGAAATGGACATAACCTCCCCTAAAATGGAGAAATGAAGTAAAACATTCCTGGTAGGAATCATGGAAACAGTTCCTTCTAAGAACACGTTAAGAGCTTTGTTTGATATCAGACGGCTGACAGCAGCAATCTCGTTGTCCTGCTCCTTGTTTGGGTCAGGCCAATGCCAAGGTCCTGGGAGTCCTTAAACAGCAGATAGTTGGTGCTGCTGCTGCTTGGGTGGTGCAAGTTCCAGGAGAGCCTGGACGGTCACTGCCACCTGGCTCAAACCTTTCTCTTCTAAAATGTGGAGAGGCAAACATAATTGCTCCTGAAATGGGACAACGTAACATAAAACAAAACAAAAGAGAAAAAGGATGAACATCACTTCTAGAACTAAAAGTAAAAAATAAGTAGTTCTCTACCTCATAATAATCAAGTGAGATATGAAAAGTCTGTACTTGAGAAACTGACCTCTGTTATATGAGTTAGATAGAGACGGTGCCTGACACTGTCACTTTATTAACACAACTAAAAGTACATACAGAACATTTTCAAAACTGGAAAATTGAGAAGCAGCATACATTTATACATACAACAGAGGAAGAATAGTATGCTATGGAGTGAAAGCAATATCCTTTATTGCTGATAAGCAAAAGCCCAATAGGCAGGTGAAAAATAATAAAACAAATTCCAAGTTATGAGATGGCTCAAGCCTAAAAAGATACAACATTTTAGGAGAAAGCACTTTCGGGATTACATGACATGGGAATACAAAATGGCTCATGATGTAACTTAGACTGCATGAAAAGGGGAAGCCCACTAGCTACATTATAATTCTGATTCTGGGTTCTCAGGTCAGGCAGGGATAAATGGAAGAATTAAGTGTATCTAAACTCTTTTGAGATTTAGATGTATTTGAGAAACTCTCCCCTAATTTTGGATAGGTCATAGAAGGCCCAGTCTGAATTAGAAATCTGAATTACAAAATTAAAAAGGAGTTGTATTTAAAAAGGTAATGTATCATAGCCTGGAATTTAATGAGTTAACTACACTGGTATTATGAGAGCTTAGTCACTAATAATGACCAATATGTGAAAAGTGTTTACAAGTTTGCTAATTGTTTTTGCCTCATTAACTTGTTTGGTTAATTCTTTTTTGTAAATAAAGAACAGAAAAAGGCAATTCTTTTTTTTCATAAAAATTATCATTGGGAGGGCTGGGGTTATGGTTCAGCTGTGTGAGGCACTGGGTTTGATCCTCAGCACCTCATAAAAATAAATAAGCAAAATAAAGGTATTGTGTCCATCTATAATTTTAAAAAAAGTTTCATTGGTATTTCTCTTTAGGCTAAATATTCAGGAAAAAAAAAACGGAAAAAAAAAGAAAAAAGAAATTGCTCTCCAAAAAAAGAATTCTGGTTCCATTAAAAGAGAAGTTATAGTATTTATTAAAGAAAATAACAGGATTTTTCTCTGCTTTCCATTGGCACTCACTATATTACTAGAATATTTTAAAAAACCAGTGGTAATAAAATATATAGTAAGTATTTATTTTTGAGGCAGTTATAGGTACTTGTGCTCCATAATTACTTTCTTTTTTAAATATTTTAATAAAAACAAGGTAATTGTAATCTTTTGACTGAATAGAACTTAGCAACTTTGTAGAAATACTTTGAAAAGGACTGCAAGTATGGATTAGCTGTGTTTAAAAATGAACTTGCATGGTGTTTTAGCTTCTGGAAAAGCATTTCCTTCAGGACTGTTTAGGGGCTCTCTTGTCAGCAGCACTCTGTATGTAACCTGTACGGCCCCATGGTTCACACTTTTAGTGGCTCATGCTTTCTAGACACACAACTAACTTCCAGCTGCTTAGAGGGAATGGTGTGTGTTCTCAAGACAATACACAACTGATTTCCTAAACCACACATGAGCATGTGTGTTTTTTTAACAGGTGATTTTTTTAAAGGGACAAAACTCTGAGAATAATCATTGACTAAGACATCTTAAATATAAAACAAGCCCAAACTAACCCCCCAACTCTGGAAGGCACTACTGTAGAAAACTGAGGTTATCACAGTGTTCAATATTTCGGTATTAACATTACACGGTCTTTAAAAGTGTTAAAATAACTGCCCTATTTAATGTGGAAGAAAACCAAGCAATCAGACCCACAGGCTGAATTCTTCAGCAGCATGTTACATTCCTTGCAATCTCCCTTCATACTTTTGTTAACAGAGTTCAGAAGATTTCTGAAGGTTCAGAAACACCATTATGAGAATTAGAATCTGAATAAGGTCTATTAGCTCATATACTAAGTATTCTGAAAGAGAGACAATATTTATTGATGGGGGCACAGAACAAAGACTGCAGCTGAATACTTTACCTGCCAAATGCTTCAATTTAATCTCCCCAACAGCCTATATACAAATTCACCTATAAGGATGGTTCAAATATATTAGAATTTACATAAATCCCAAATAGCGTTCTAGAAGTGAACTTTGGTTACATTTAACAAGCAAAGTTACTGTGGACAAGTATCTACTCCTGCTTGATGTGTACTGCATATATACATATTTGGCTCAGAACAGCAATTTAGGGACCTATATGATCTTTAAACTGAACATTATGACCAAATTAAAATTATTAACATTACATGGCTAGCACCTTCCAATGTCCAGAAATTATAGCCATAGAAAGATCTTTAAGGGCAAATTCAGGATTTTGGGGTTGTAATATAAGTGACAAGGTGCCCCCAATCCAGAAGGGTGCCACTGTTTTCCTCATGCTCAGTAACTCACAGTTTTAATACTCAAGTAGTGTTAAGTATGGAAAAATGGCCAGATGGACATTTTATTTTGTCATTTGGAGATAAAGTTCTGTGTCTCACATTTCTAACCACAGAATCAGGATTGAATTAGTATAAATGCACTGGCATTTATGATAAGAGAAACAAGGCCACAGGGCAGGAGAATGGATAAATGACCAGGAAAGAAAATGCTAGTCCTTTATTCACTGTTAGCCATCATTAATGCTTACTAAGGTGACAGGCTGCTCACCTGGACCTGGAAGGACTTATCTACTAAGGTTAGCTCTCTGAAGGCCAGGGCAGGGAGAAATATGTAAATAATGTGTCTTCGTGAGCAACAAACCTCCTTTGCCAAGTACAGGAATGAAGTGGAGAATCACTGGAATACAATCTTTCAGCTACAGGGGGAGGACCCAGTAATAAAGCATACAGAGAGTTAACATTAAAGTACAATAAAATGCCACAAAGCCCAGAAGTTGGATAGACAGACAGACAAAACTGGATTCTTCTGAATGTGCCCCAAGAGAAAGTAGTGTTTCAACAGTTCTTTTAACGCTGAGATTTAGCTGAAGGATGTCGGAAGGGGAACAAAGAATGTCCTGTCCAAATTGTGAGCAGGAAAGGAAAACAGAAAAACAAAGTCAGTGGATCAGAAATGCAGATTTGAGTATAGAATTCAGTATGATCATCTCAATCACATTCAAAGGTACACATCCTGTAACGTTTTTATTTATGATGAATAAAATGCTAAAAAGCAAAACTACAATCTTCTTTGTATAGAGATTGATTTACTACTAGATAGTATAATAAAATTTGCTTATCTGCTTATTGGTGACTAGTATGAACATTGAGGATACACTGAACGGAACTGGATGCTGGCTTAGAGTCGTGTGAAGCCCGAGAGTGGGAGGGCCTTCGTAATTATTCTTCCCTCCCCACTAGTGAAGAAGGAAATGGCAGAAAGCACAGACAAAAATTGGGGTGGGCTGAGCAGGAGGAACTTTTCATGGGAAGTCAGGTAAATCAAGAGGGTTCAAAGAATGAGGAGAGCTAATAAATAATTAGGGGACATTTACCACCTAGCAGCCAAGTGTGATGAATGACTTGAAGTTTTTCTAAATATCAGTCAAGTCCAAGCCTAATTCACTAATGTACAAAATGACTACAGAGCTGCATGGGGCCTTGGAGATCTCTGCCATTTCAGAGATTATTAAATAAATAAAAACGTTAATGGACTCGACAAAAAGAAAAATATTTATTAACACATAACATACAATAACTCTTGGATATACGATACTGGACTCAAATATAAGTTCTTATCATCAACTAAAGTTTTTCTGAGCAACATTTAATAAAAACATAGTAATACAGTGAATAACCATATACTCAACCTCATCAGAGGATTTAAAGTCACCTAATCTTTCATAGTTCATTCATAATTTAACTTGTATAATGCTTTAAGAAAAATTGTTTTTCTCTATACATATTACCTGGGCATAGAATCTGTCAGATGTTAATAATATTAAGTTTTCTGTTTAAAATTTTCAAAAGCAGTCATCATGATTAAATACACAATTTTCTTTTCAAGTCCAACAGAGCAAGTGAGGATGCATAAGTGAAGGCCAGAATGCCTAGAAATATAGTAGGACAAAGGAAGAAGAGGAGATAGAGGGTGGCAGAGGGATCTGAGAATGCCCATTGGTATTTAAACCAGTTTGTGTATTTATTCATTTTCCCTTAGTTTGTCTAGACAAATGACTAATTTTTTAGCAAAAGTTGCAGTGTAGCAGGAAGCATCTAAAATTGGTGGTGGTGGTGGTATGGTGACAGGGACTTGGGTGGAAGGCAAAAGGGGAGAAGGAAGTGGTGGTCTATGTGGAATGCCCATTTCCTCTTTCTGGTAGAGGAGGAAGGATGTGTTAAGAACTCCAGTCTGACCACTTTGGAAAAAAATCCAGTCTTTTAAAATTATATTTTTTCTATCTGTACCTGGTTGAAATGGCATAGCTCTGGTACAAACAGAGGTTGCCAGCTCATAATAAATACATTAACCAATGCTTGGAAAATGCTGACTAAAATGCATATTTATTTGTTTGTTGAGTACTGGGGATTGAATCCAGGGGTGTTTACCACTGAGCTACATTCCAAGTCCTTTTTATTTTTTATTTCAAGACAGGGTTTTGCTAAGTTGTTTAGGATCTTGCTAAATTGCTGAGGCTGGCTTCAAACTTGTGATCCTCTTGCCTCAGCCTCCCAAGTCACTCGGATTACATTAGTGGGTGCTCCCATGCCTGGCTTAAATGCATGATTTGAGGTACACTGTTTTTATACTTTGTTGCATGATGGAATATTCTCAAAGAATTCCAGGTTAGGGATTTTAAATGTGAGAGAGAAGATGGGTCTATAAAGCCCACTGGGAAGGTATAACATTTATAAAAGTTGGTTAACAGTACTTTTAATATAAGTTAAGTCAGCATGCCTTATTTTTTTCCGGTGGCTACCATTCTCTATACCAACCTATATCAGTCAAGTCCAAGTCTAATTCACTAATGTACAAAATGAATACAGAGCTGCATGGCGCCTTGGAGATCATCCAAACCTGCCTTTTCAGAGATTATTAAATAAATAAAAACATTAATGGACTTGATAAAAAGAAAAATATTTATTAACACATAACATATAGTAACTATTAGATATATGATCCTGGCCTCAAATACAAGTTCTTTGAATCTCTTATGCAAAGACACTGTGGTATGGAACTAGAGTAGGTAGTAGGCATGTTTGTATCAGTAGGAATATCTTTGGTACAAAGAAAGGAAGAATTGAATGTTAACATGCACATATGAACATCAGAAACTCTTAATATGGAGAAAAAACATGCCATTTTTTTAGATACCATATGAATGCTCTTTGAATATATTTAAAATGGCTTGATAAGCATTTATAAAACAATAATATTAAAATAGAAATTTTGATTACATTTATTATTATGGAAGCTTCAGTTCTACCTCAAGTTAAAAAGAAGGAGGGAAAAAAAAAAGCCAGCAAAAGAAATAAGTGCAAAATAAAGAGTAGAACAACCATCTATTCAATAAAAGAAAACAATCATGTGAATTCATGGTGGCTAATATAGATGTACTAGGGAGCTGGACTCTTTTCTACTTTGTAACACAAGAAAGAGCTGAAAGAGAAGGTTGTTCACTGGATAAGTGATGCTGTGGCCTTCTCAGTTCCTGGTTAGAAAAACGTATGGTAAACTGGGTGAAGAAAGTCACTGTGAAAACTACTAGAACAGAGCTTGACTCTGAGAGCGATCATGGCATTCTTGATGAGCCCAGTTTCTGACAGCTAATCAAAGAAGGTGATAGAAAAGAGGCAGTTGGACAATATATAACAATTGTAGGGGCCGAGAGTGTGATGCAGTGGTAGTGTATGTGTTTAGCATAAATGCAGCCCTAGGTTCAATCCCCAATGGATCAAATGGCACCAAGTTGTTTATTCCTTTATATGTCTACATATCACATTATTAAATATAATATTCCTTAAGAATGTCATCCTTAGTTACTTTTTAAAAAGATAACTGAATAAACAGTGTATCCAGGTGTTTTCCTTAATTACATCCATAAATTAAGTTTAATTATTTGAACTACTGAAGGGTAAGAATATTAATATAACTGAGAAACTTGGAGGCAATAAATCCTAGTAGCAGAACAGATGCTTGGAAATGGCAAGTTAAACTCTAAGATATTAGAGCTTAGTAGAAAAACTTGTAAAATCTGAATGAAGTCTGTAATTTAGTTAACAGTATTACTGTTCCAATGTTACTTAGTTTGAACAACTGTACCATACCTATGTTAGATGTTAATATTGGTGAAGTATACATAGACACTCTCTGTCCTATTTTTCTAACATTTCTGCAAGTCTAAAATTACTTCTAAATTAAAAATTTTTAGTATTAAAGAAGGTGTTAAAAACTGAAGCCAACTGAAGCATTCTCACTCTGAGATTTTGAAAGACAAATTCTGTTGTTTGTATAGTTTTATACAAGCCAAACAGTTAGTTGGGATGTTTAGGAAAACAGAAAGTTATGTTTCATTAATTACTTATTATAATATAATTATTTAAATTTATATATTTATGATTTCTTTGTGAGGTCCTGGGAAATAAGGAAAACAATAAAAATATTGATCAAAAGAATATCAATTGACTCTTATAACACAATATCATGTTAGTAATTACCAACTTAGTTCAGAGTCCTATAAGTCTATAGTGCATTTCTGATAAGATTTTAGGACTATAATGCCTAACTATTTTAAAAAGGCAACACATACAAAAAAGATAATTTATTACCTGAGGTACACCAATTTTTCTGCAAGCTTCTAGGAAATTCTCCACATTTCGCCTGCATTTTGCCATTGTTAATTTAGGCTATAAAAATAAAAGGAGGAAAATTATAATGTTATCAGGAAAGGTCTAAAAATTTACCAACTTTAAAAATACTCTTGCCAATTGATTCATATATTCACAACACTATAGACTGAGGGGGTCAGTAAACATTTTCTTTAAAAGAGGATCAGATCATAAATATTAGTCTTGAGAGTCATAAGAACTGTTACAAATAATCAATTCTGCTACAGGCTTGAAAATAACCACAGACAACATGTAAACAATTAATTGTGGCTGTGTTCCAATAAAACTTTGCTTATAGAAATAGGTGCTGTCCTGTGGGTAGCTGTTTGCCACTTTTTTTGGGGGGGGGTATACCAGAGACTGAACTCAGGGTCATTTTACTATTGAGCCGCATCCCCAGCCCTACTTTGTATTTTATTTAGAGACAGGGTCTTGCTGAGTTGGTTAGTGCCTCGCTGGCTTTGAACCCATGATCCTCCTGTCTCAGCCTCCTGAGCTGCTGGGATTACAGGCATGTGCCACCAAGCCCGGTTGTTTGCCACTTTTTAAAATAAACATTTTGCTTTAGTTTTGAAAGGTAAGTACTAAACAGAAAAATTTTTAGATGGATAGTTTTAAATTTTATTCTATTTTCAGACAATGTACACTAAATAAATTTAAAAGAACGGCAAAATTAATTACCCATTGCTCATCACTCAAATATATCCACAATTAACAACTGGTTCATTTTTCTTTTAGTATATATTAAATATAACAAAAAAGAAAAAAAACCTCAGAGCTTTACTCATAAATATACTATAAATGCATCATGTTCTCACTCACTGACAACATCTGAATTTTAAAAAACATTTTAGTTTTAGAGGTTAGGGCTGTAGCTCAGTGGCAGAGCGCTTGTCTAACATGTGAGGCACTGGGGTTGATCCTTAGCACTGCATTAAAAACAAACAAACAAAAAAGCATGCTGAACATCTACAACTATAAAAAATTTTGATTTTCAAAGGATGGGTCAGCAGACACAGTGGTACACATTTGTAATCCTAGCGGGCTTGGGAGGTTGAGGCAGGAGGACTGGGAGTTCAAAGCCAGCTTCAGCAACTTAGCAAGGCCCTAAGCAAATCAGCAAGACCCTGTCTCTAAATAAAATATAAAAAAGGACTGGAGATGTGGCTTAGTGGTTGAGAGCTCCTGGGCTCAAACCCTGGTACAAACAACAATAACAAAAAGACTGGGTCAATTCGGAACCCATTTTCCAAAGTGTGAAAGGTTCCTATAGGAAATTTTTCCAGTTACAACTAGTAAGCTTGTTTTTCTATAAAGATCTCTYATGGCTAGAAATAAAGAGTTATATTAAGTGATTTAAAGTTTCAATCAAGCTTTTCACCTGTGGGTTATCATGAAAGATAATATTAGAAAACAAATATGAATACCATTTTTCAAAATGATTAACATATTCAATTGTACAAATTCATTGGTTGGTTTACAGTATGTTCAAGCATCAGTCAGGAAAGCCAAACGTTTGCATGGAATCATACCTTTGGGTTTTTATTACTATAGTTAACAGATGGAAGTCTATATCATCTTTAGGGGAAAAAGGTTTCATCTGTAAATATCTGGGTTTTCTTCAAAGAATGCCACATTCCCAGCTCTTTTTATATTTTACTGCTTAGGGCCTCACTAAATTGGTAAGGCTGGCTTTAAACCTGTAATCCTCGTGCCTCAGCTTCCTGAGCTGCTGGGATTATAGGTGTGAGCCATCATACCTGGCTGATTCAGATTTTTTTCTCAGGTTGTCTTCCTATTTTATGGTTCATTCAGTGAGCTCTTCCAGCACCGTATTTGTCATTATTTTTTGTTGTTGTTGGTACTGGAGATTGAACTCAGGGGCACCTGACCACTAAGCCACATCCTCAGCCCTATTTTGTTATTTTATTTAGAGACAGGGTCTTGATAAGTTGCTTAGCGCCTCACTTTTGCTGAGGCTGGCTTTGAAYTTTGGATCCTACTGCCTCTTGAGCTGCTAGGATTACAAGTGTGTGCCCAGGCCCAGCTGTAATGGTTTTTGATATGGTTCAACAGCATACCTGTAAGAATGTGAATCGTACTCCTTAACACCTACACCTACCAAACAACTAAACAGCATTTTATCAAACATCTTGATTTTCCCAAGATAACAAGAAAGATGAATTAGAACTTAAATGGTTGCAAACACTTAAAAGTTACAGACACATGACTTTCTGATTTATTTTCCTCTCTCCAAATCAGAACATGACAGCACACAATCTTTGTCTGCCCATAAATAAGTTCATCATCTATCTGAATTTTTTTACAATGCTTGATATAAAACCTCCCTTTATAATGAGAAATTCATTTTTCGAATTTGGGGAAAGAAACTGATTTGTGTACTATATCAAGAAACTCTTTTTCAAGTTGTACATACACTGAAATTAGCTAGCTCTCAAAGAATTATAAGAAATTAACATGTATGAATATAGGCATAAAAAAACTGCTACAGTTTTAATTCGTATTTGGTTTTTAATTTTATATTCTCATCACAAAAATTATTCTAAGAAAGTATACTACAAATCTTGCAGCTGGTTTTAAGAACAAAATAAGGGAAGAAGCTGTCTACTATGAGGAAGGAAAATGTATATGAAGGAAAAATAAGTGTAAATATTTATGCTGAAAACTAGTTCTATAATTGGAATTTCATGAAAGCAATATTGATTTATTCTTAGTAATCATGATCACAGTTATCACAGTTTGAAAGAGGGTTGTTTGCTTGTTTTTGTTTTTAATTAAAATAGTGGACAATTATCTGGCTAAATCCAACTCCTTCCTTCACCCCCAGATTTTTCATTTGGGAAATTTTATATGTCTTTTTAACTATATATATCCTTTATTATCTAGAAAGATTCCCTACTAGCTGAGCATAGTTGTAGGCACCTGCAGCCCCAGCTACTTGGGAAGCTGAGGCAGGAGGAACCCTTGAGCTCAGGAGTTCAAGGCCAGCCTGGCAAAAAAACATCCTGCCTCAAAAATAAATAAGTAAAAATTCCCATTAAACAATTTACTTGTCAAAAAAAGCTATTTGATAAAAGACCCCCCCTTTTTTTAATCTTAAAAAAGAGAAATTAATGTCCTTGAGAGAATGAACCACTTATAACTGTGTCTGTATCTTTTGTGCCTGGCAGGATGCCTGGCTCTGACATGCTCTCAATAAATGAGTATGTTTTGTTGTTGATTCCACTGGCCATTTCTAAGTGTTCTCATCTCATCTTAGACCCTTATTTCTTTATCTAAGGAGAAGGTTCATGTATTTTATTTCTTGGAGAAGTTAAATATTTATAAAATACTTTTATTTTCTCATTATATATATATTACATTCTTGAAAACACTGTGTTCTGGCAGTCAAAGAGGCTCATTCACTCTTTCAAATTCCACTTACTACATTAACTCCTTGATAGTATTTCCCCTGAAAATGAAGAAAGAAAGTTTTATCCTTTTTATTTTTAATTAAAGAATAATTTTTTTTCTTAATGCAGTTGACAGAAACTGGAAAGAACAGAAAGTATGAACAAACACTTCTTCCCTTACTGGCATTGCCATTGTTTTCTTAGTCATTACCTATAGGACCAATGGGGAGGTTTTTAATCCATTGGGAGTATAGTTTAGTTTGGTAGTACTACTTTGCTTTATCTATAGAGAACTGAACACCTGCTCTCAGAGTCATTAAACAAAAAGAAGCTACCTATTTTCCTTAGAAGAAATGTATAACTCTATTTTTGAATGTGTTGGACAAAAAAGGGCCATATCAGACCTGGGACTTTGTTAAAGAAGTTTTAGGAACTGGGTCTGTAGCTAAGTGGCAGAGCGCTTGCCTAGCATGTGTGAGGCACTGGGTTTGATCCTCAGTACCACATAAAAATAAATAAATAAAAATAAAGGTATTATGTCTATTTATAACTTAATTTTTTTTGTAATTAAAAGAATACAAAGTCCTAGAGAAGGATTAAGGATTTGCATCTGGAAAAGTGGTAAAATGAATGTCTAGATGTAGAAATCTATAGTTCTGATACAACTGCAATCTGAACAAAGAATTTACAAGGAACTGCCTGCTAAATAACAAACCAACCAACTAGAAAATGACAAGAGGGCAAACCTTTGAAAAGGTAAACACTGCTAAGCTACTAAAAATGCAGGTATATTCATTAAAAGTCATTAAAATAGGGTGAAAATACAATCAAATAAATGCAATGTGAACCTTGATTATATCCTGTGTGTGTGTGTGTGTGTCTCTCTTGCTTTACTGGAGGGGGGGGAATGAAGTAGCAGCTATGAAAGATATCCTTAGAGCAAATGTAGAAATTTCAATTTACCTATGGTGGATGCTGACATCTGGTGTTCCCCTACTAGTCTGTACATCCATCCTTACCCCTAACCCTTCCCATCTTGCTGGCTGCTAATGGCTCATAGCTACCTCCTTCTCAGCTTCAACATGATCCCATGGGAAGCTCAGAAGTGAATTGTTCTCTCATCTTGAAATAGGAGGACTCAGTCCTATGTCAGTCATTGGCTATCAGCTATGGGAAAAGGAAAGGTGGACCAGGACCATTCTCTGGAATATTTGAAAGGTAAAAAGTTATGAGACCTGCGTCTCTTAATTGGTGCAGTTTAAAGACACACACAGATAAAGCAAATATGGCAAACTGAATAAATGTCAGATCTACATGAAGATTTTAAGTGCTCACTATATTATACTTTCAACTTTTCTGAAGGTTTAAACATTCTTTTTAAACATTTACTTTTAAGTTGTAGTTGAGACACAATACCTTTATTTTATTAATATATTTTTATGTGGTGCTGAGGATTGAACAGTTATCCTACTGTTGAAACAGGACAGCAGAACTTCTGGGCTAAAATTTTGTAATAAAAAGTTGAAGGAAAAAAAGGAGGGGTATATCAACCCAAAGCCTGCTGTTTCTTTTGTTGGTTGTCATTTTGACACTAATATCCAGAGCTGATAAGCATCCAAAGAAAACAAAAATAGAATTAAGGACAAAAATCACAGTCATATCAATAGATGCACAAAAATCCTTCACATCAGCCCTAATTCATGCTAAAAACACTGAAAAAAACAGGGATAGAAGGAATGTCCATCAACATCATAAAGACTATATATGAAAAACCCAAAGCCAACCTCATAATACATGGGAAAAAACTGAAAGCACTTCCTTTAAAATCCGGAACAAGACACAAATATCCACTCTCACCACTCCTATTTAATATGGTGCTAGGAATTCTTGCCAGAGAAATTAGGCAAGAAAAGGAAATAAAAGTGATTAAAAAAAGAAAAGAAGTCAAATTATCATTGTTTGCAGAGGATATGATCCTATACTTAGAATTCCAAAATACTCCACCAGAAGATTGCTGGAACTAATAAACCAATTTAGCCAAGTAGGAGGTTACAAAAATCAACATACTTTTGTATGTCAGTGACTTTCTTATATACCAATAAGGAATCTGTTAAGAATGAATTCAGGGGCTGAAGTTGTAGCTAAGTAGTAGAGTGCTTGCCTAGCATGCATGAGGTACTGGGTTTAATCCTCAGCACAACATAAAAATAAATAAGTAAATAAAGATATTGTGTCCATCTACAGCTATAAACAAACAAATGAATTCAGGAAAACATCTCCATTCACAATGGCATTGAAAAAAATAAAATACCTAGGAATAAATCTAACCAAGGAGGTGAAAGACTCTACAATGAAAAGTATAGAACACTGAAGAAGACACAAGATGGAAGACCACCAATGTTCATGGATAGGCAGAATTAATATTGTTAAAATTGCCATATTACCAAAGCAATATCAGATTCAATGCAATCCCCACCAAAATATCAATGACTTTCTTTATGGAACTAGAAAATAAAGCATTAAAACTCATGAAAGGCAAAAGATTCAGAATAGCCAAAGCAATTCTAAGCCAAAAAAGCAATGACTTCAGGGCTGGAGCTATAGCTCAGTGGTAGAGTGCCTGCTTCACAGGTATGAGGCCCTGGATTTGATCCTCACCACCACATAAAAATAAAGACATTGTGTCCATATATAAATGAATAAAAAGCAATGATTTCAAATTATACTATGGTTATAGTAACAAAAACTGAATGATACTGGCATGAAAATAGACACATAGACCAATGAAACAGAAGACACAGAGACAAACCCATAGAGATTCAGTCATCTGACAAAAGTATCAAACATACATTGGAGGGGCTAAGGCTGAGGCTCAGGGGTAGCACACTTGCGTGGCATGTGTGAGGCACTGGGTTCAATTCTCAGCACTGAATATAAATAAATAAAATAAAGGTCTGTTGACAACTTAAGAAAAAATATATACTGGAGAAAAGACAGCCTTTTCAAACAAATGGTGCTTGGAAAAGTGGTTTTCCATATATAGAAGAATGAGTCTAGATCCCTATCTCATGCTATATAAATGCCAACTCAAAAAGGATCAAAGACTTAGGAACAAGACCAGACACTGGTCTTAGTTCTCCTAGAAGAAAATATAAGGTCTACACTCCAACACATAAGTGCAGGCATTGACTTTCTTTCTTTCTTTGGTACCCAGATTTAACCCAGGGGCTCTTAACCATTGTGCCACATCCCCAGCCCTTTCTTGTATTTTATTTAGAGACAGGGTCTTACTGAGATACTTAGGACCTTGCTAAGTTGCTGAAGCTGGTTTTGAACTCACAATCTTCTTGCCTCAGCTTCTTGAGCTGCTAGGATTACAGGCATGTGCCATTGCACCTGACCAGGCAATGACTTTCTCAGTAGGACTTCCAAAGCCCAGGAAATAATGTCGAGAATAAATAAAGATGGGATGACATTAAATTAAAAAAGCTCCTTCATAGCCAAAGAAAACAATGTGAAGAAAGAACCTACTGGATGGAAGAAAATCTTTGCTAGTTATTCTTCTGATAGAGGATTACTATCCAAAATAACTTTACACTAAATTTTTTTTAAAAAAATTAAAAAATATGAAAACACAAACCAAACAACCCACTCAAAACCAAATCCAAAATAGAACAACAACAAAAACAAAACCATTTGACCCAGCTATCCCTCTCCTTGGTCTATACCCAAAGGACTTAAAAACAGCATACTACAGGAACATAGCCATGTCAATGTTTACAGCAGCACAATTCACAACAGCTAAACTGTGGAACAACCTAGATGCCCTTCAATAGATGAATGGATTAAAAATGTGGCATACATACACAAGAATATTACTCAGCAATAAAAGAGAATGAAATCATGGCTTTTGCAGGTAAATGGATGGAAATAGAGAAGATAATGCTAAGTGAAGTTATCCAATCCCAAAAAACCAAATGCCGAATATTTTCTCTGATATAAGGAGACTGATTCATAGTGGGGTAAGGAGAGGGAGGAATATCGAACTCTAGATAGGACAGAGGGGTGGGAGGGAAAGAGAGGGGTTAGAAATGATAGTGGAATGTGATGGACATTATTATCCAAAGTACATGTATAAAGACATGAATTGGTGTGAATATACTTTATATACAACCAGAGATATGAAAAATTTTGCTCTATATATGTAATAAGAATTGTAATGCATTCTGCTGTCAAATATAAATAAAAAACAAAAACAAAAACAAAAAACCCCTAACAAAAAACAAAAAACTTCTCAAAAGAAGAAATACAAATGGTCACTAAATATATGAAAAAAACATCTTTAGCAATTAAGGAAATGCAAATGAAAACTACACTTAAATTTCCTATTACTCCAGTTAGAATGGCAGCTATCAAGAATACAAACAATAACAAATGCTGGAGAGAATGTGGAGAAAAAGGAACATATTTGCACTGTTGGTAGGATTGTAAATTAGTAAAACCACTATGGAAATCAATCGGAAGTTCATCAAAAGACTAGGAATGGAACCATCATATAACCTAGCTATACCACTCCTCAGCATTTATCCTAAAAAATTAAAGTCAGAATATTATAGAGATACATGCATATCCATGTTTATAATAGAAGAATTCACAATAGCCAAACTGTGGAACCAGCTTAGGTATTCATTAATGAATGAATAACGAAAATGTGGTATATATACATAATGGAGTTTTATTCTGCCATAAAGAAAAGTGTGAAATTATGTCTTTGGCAGGAAAATGGAGGGAACTTGAGAACACTATGTTAAGTGAAATAAACCAAACTCAAGAAGTTAAGGGTCACATGTTTTCTCTCATATGTGGAAACTAGAGAGAAAAATGGAAAAGAAAGTGGTGGGTGGAGCTTATGAAAATAGAAGGGAGATCAATAAGAGTAGACAAAAGGAACCAGGGGGAAGGAAAAGGGGAAGAAAAGGAGAAATACTGGGGAATGAAACTAGCAAAATTATATTGCTATATTATATACATGGACAAATATATAACAATAAATACCACCATTATATATAATCAGGGTGTATAAATATGTAAAATATGGAAAATTATTATTATTATAAGATTTTGTTACATATGTGTAAATATGTAAAATATGGAAAAAATTCTTTCAGTTTTTCCCCAATATCTCCCCTAAGATAAACTTCTAATTCCTTCACATGTTTCATAAGGGCTCAGCTCTCTTCTTCAACTCCTGCCATACTCAGTGTATGATTTATTCTGAACAATTTAACAATTCCTTGAATACATCATGACCTTCCTTAGCTCTCCTACCCCCAGCTCCCGTAATGCTAGAGATTCCCTTGAGCGTGCTAGGCAAGTGCTTTTCCACAGAGCTACATTTTTAGCCCATTTCTTTAGCTTTTGAATCTAGGAATACTGTGCCCAGAATGCCTTCTCTTTCTCTGTATTGCTTGCAAATTCCTACTCATACTTCAAGAAATTAGTTCAAATTTCACCTCCTCTAGGAAGGCTTCCCTGAACTCTCTAGGCTGTTAACTGGTTCTTTTTTGTATCTTCATAGTATACATCTTACATTTATTAGATTACTAAAAATTATTGTTAACATGTCTATTTTTCTTTAGAAGTGAAATYAAGAAGGCAGGGACTGGACCCTTTGCATCCCTAACTTCAGCAAAATGACTGCCACTATGCTTAATGAATGTCTGATAAATAGCCACTGCTTTTTAGCATTATATACTTACCACAGCTGGTGAGGGAACATGAATGCTTGGGACAGATCGAGGACGCACATGATTGGCCAAATGGCAAAGAACAACACCATCAGTTAGAGCTGCTCCAAGATCACAAGGCAGAGATACTTTTAGTCGGTACTCTATATGCTGGCAGAATAGGAAAACATGTAATATAGTAATTGAAGATTGATTAACACATAAGACATAATGGAGTTACAATGGAATACACTTAGTTGGAAATCAAGATAAAAATAAGGAGATCATACATGTACATACATACGACAGCCAGGCCACAGTGCCAAATACAACAGAAATTCATATACCATTTTCTGATTAAAAAGAAAACAAAGACTAGATTCTCTTTTGATTTCAAAATAAAATAGCTAACCTCTTATCACATAAGTGTATATGTATATGTGTGTTCACATAAATTATTATTATAAGATTTTGTTATAATATGAAGCAGAAAGGAAATGAAAATAATTTCAAATGCATAGGGCTAAGAATAACCCATCTCAATTTTTTCAGTAAAAAGTTGAAAAGAATTTCTTCAGTAGCATAATTTCTTTTACATTTATCACAAAACACAGCCACAATAGATATCTACTAATTCTATGAACAAGTAATTATGGGATTATGGACTATAGTAATATCACGGAAAAAGTGCAATTCAAAGATAATATACACACTTTTCGTAGTTGTTCTATTAATTTCAGCTCTTCTTCTCTCTGCCTTGATATGGGATCTGTAGAATCAGTGGTAGGTGCAGAAGATGGGAGAGGAGAAGCATGGCCTAGAAAAATACTAACATGTTAGATAGAAAACGAATGCTAAGAAAATACATCTGTCTGATGACAGTGTCCTTGCAAGGACATCATTTTCTGCTTTCTGGATTGAATTTTTAAAAATGTTTTTATTATGGAAAATTTCAAATATACACGATAATGATTACCCATTTCGCTTAACTACTTTATTTGAGCCCAAAAATGTTATCATTGAAAAAAAATACATATACAGAAAATTATACAAATAGCAGAGATTAATAATTTTCCTCAGAAAGTGAAACAATTAATATCCTTAGAGATATTAATTAATTAGTAAATGAAACATTACTTATGCTCAAAAGCCCTCTTGCATGCTCTGCCTATTAGTACTTAAAGGTTACCAGTATGCTGACTTCAAAAGCCATAGATTAGTTTTCTCATTTTTGAACTTTCTATAAATTAAATCATATTGTATGCTTTTGTGCTCTGGCTTCTTTTGATTAACATGATGAGATTTATCCATGTTGATGTTCAGAGTTATTTGTTCATTTTCATGACCTTTACGGTATATGCCAATGTTTAGCTATACCACAATTTGTTATCCATTCATTCTATTGATGGACATTGTATTTGGGGCTATTTTGAATAATACTGCTGTGAATATTTTTGGACATATTTTTGGTATACCTTTGTGCATATTTCTCAAAATTGTTGGTTTATGATGATGGAGTATACAAATGTTTGACAGTTTATCAATACAGAAAAATCTGAAAAAGCGCATTGCAGCTGGGTATGGTGGCACATCCCTCTAATCCTAGTGACTCAGGAGGCTGAGGCAGGAGTCTTACAAGTTTAAAGTCCAGCCTCAGGAATGTAGTGAGACCCTGTCTCAGAATAAAAAATCGAAAGAGCTGGGAATATAGCTAAGTGGGAAAGTGTCCCTGGGCTCCATCCCCAGTTTCAAAGGGGTCGGGGAGAAGAAGCTATATCCTCTAACTGAAGAGGATTTTATTTGTTCAAATATTCAAAACTTATTTAGCTGGGTGTGGCAGTGCATACCTGTAATCCCAGCTACTCAGGAGGCTAAGATAGGAGGATTTCAAGTCCCAGGCCATCTTAGTACCCCAACCCCCCTAAACCAAAAAACATAAAAATGCTTGCTTTTAGGTGATTCTAAGCAACTTTTTAATCAAAACAAATTTAATCACAGGTATCTGCAGAGTTTAAAGCTTTTGGTATATAAGTTTAAAAGATGTTATAGTTTATGTCTTGTATAAAGCACCTTTCCAGCCCCAACCCTATCCTGCCCCATTTTTAAAATCACTATCACCTACCTTTATTTGTTTCTGCCCTGACAGCTGCTCGGAAAAGGAAACTTTCAGGGCGCAGGGGTTGATTTCTCTGGATAGTAGCAGGAAAAGAATATGCAGGGGAATGATGAACTAAATCAGTATGGAAAAGCAAAATGAAATGAAAGGAGATGGAAAGCAAATTAAATATAATGTAGATGTACATGTCACAGTCACAAAAGTTCAGTAAGTAGTACATACAGAAAAAAATCAAACATGGCAATATGATATAAAATGATACTTTTTTTTTTTTTGTACTTAGGATTGAACCAAAGAGTGCTCTATCACTAAGCTACATCCCGAGCCCTTTTTATTTATTTTTTAATTTTAAGACAGGTTCTCAATAAGTTGCTGAGGCTGGCCTGGTACTTGTGATCCTCCTGCCTCAGCCTTCTGAGTTGCTGGCATTTCAGGTGTGTGCCACCATGCTTGTTAAGAATTCTGTTTACTAACGAAAAATCTGGCATAGAAAAGTAATCCTTAGAAAAGGGTTTTTAATTCTCATGTTATTTTTGGTATATCAATAAATACAGAAAAATGCTAATATACTGAACATACCCTCTTGCAAATCTATAGCCCTGCTGGCTCAAGCTCATTTGTTCTCATCAAATGGCTAAGTAGTTGAATAACCAGTTGAATTAAAAAGTGGGAAATGTTTAGAAAGTTTTCAATTTGTGTCTGATTCTATCTCAGAAAAGGAAGTCAGTTCTCTAACTAATCAACTTGTTCAAGAAAATTCTGGTAAAGAATTAGAATCTTGATATGGTTAACTGTACTTTTGTGTCTATTACCTGTTTCTGTTGTAGGTGAACTTGAAATGGCAGTAGATCTGTCATCACTCTGTGGAGAAAAACACAGCAATAATTATTATTCAAGAAGACAAACTTTCCACATTTATGTTAACTTTGGGACTATATTAAAAAAAATCCCAAACCAAAAACCCATGCAACTCTCCTTCAAATTTAAGTCTTGGAATGAAAATTAAGTGAAAAGAATTAATCTCGTACATTATTTTTAAAAAATATTTTTTTAATTGTAGACACACAAAATACCTTTATTTTACTTATTTATTTATTTTTTATGTGGTGCTGAGGATCGAACCTAGTCCTGCACACATGCTAGGCAAGCACTCTACCACTGAGCTACATACAACCCCAGTCAAACTTTTTGTGTTTATGTAAAGTATTATCTAAAAATAACAGGCCTTTCCAAAGACTGAGAAATCATCACTATAAGGTATAAAATATATGGGAAAGAATAAAATTTTATTTTCTAATAGCAATTCTCTGGAATAATTTCTAAAATACTTTTTCCTCTGGAGAATAATATTTAATCTTTTGGAAAACAGGAAATAGGTTTCTCCATTCAATTAGAAACAAATGTGTTTACAAGATGATGTCTTTTCTAGAATAGTATTTGATTTCAATTCATTGAAGATCAGTACTGTAAAAAGGAGGAGGAACTAGCTAAAACGGTATAAAGTTTATGTAAAAAAGGGGAACTTAAGATAAAAAACATATTCAATGGCTGGGTTAAAGACGTTGAAGGTTTGGCAGGAGAGCAGAATCAAGAAGTCTTGACATCTAATTAAATTTAAACATAACTTTATGGTATATTAAGCATTTCTAAACCAAAATGACTTTAAAACTAACACATACACACATATCTGCTCCCTCACACCCTACCCAGGGCTCAATAGTTTCAAAAATCTCATATCTCTAGCTGAATTTGGGTCAGATAAAATAAATGATGATAGAATTTTAATTGCAAACAACAAAGACAAGGAAAGAGCCATGCAGTTGAGAATATTCTTGGACAGATTTAGAGATAATTTTCTGGTAATGATTCCTTAGTTTGATATTTATAGGCTGAGAGTCAAGATTTAAATGTTAAGATTTAAAAAGCAAGCTGGGCTTGCAAGGCATGGTGGCATGCCTGTAATCCCAGTGACTCGGGAGGCTGAGGCAGGAAGATTGCAAGGTCAAGGCCAGCCTCAGAAATTTAGTGAGACTCTGTCACCCCCCAAAAAAAGGTGTGTGTGGGGATGCAGGGAGGCTGGGGATGTGGCTCAGTTGTTAAGCGCCTCTGGGTTCAATTCCAGGTACCCCCCGCCAAAAAAAAAAAGCCAACAAGAAGCTTTGCTCTTGACTGAGGCAGAAACAACATGTTCATAAAGATTATAGATGTATATAATCTATATTTTAGGTGTTGAAAAAAATGGAAACTTTAATAAATTTAAAACAAGAGTAATAGGAATTAATAAAAAGGAATCAACAGGCAAATGAGGCAAAAGCTGGATACTTTAGATGGAAACAAAAAGACTACTGTTATTTTCAAAGATATGAGCTAGGAAGGAGAAAGTTAGCTAAATGAAGACTCGCTGAAATACCAATGGTATAAGTAGAAAAAACATTTAAAGGCAAAAATTATTCTAGATAAAGAAAAAAATATTTTTAAAAATTTAAAAGAATTATTCATAGGACACAGACTAGAAATTTAACATTTTAAAGAATAAAAGAAAGTTAATAGGCAGCTAGCTTTATTAGATAAGAAGGAAGAGCCAAAACAAATGATGCTGAAGGTCAGCAAATGTTCTCTACCTCCAGAAACAGCAACTGATACCATGCAACTCACCTGGGTGTGAAAGAAACTAAAGCCAGAAAGAAGGAAACTGTTAATAGGATGACTTTTAATGTACTTTTATTGAAACTATAAATCTACATGACTTGCACTTTAGGACACTATAAAATAATTAGTTGAAATCACATTGGGATCATTAATTATATTTGGGAATTCTTGGAGAACCAGACACAAAACAAAAAGATTATAAAATAATCTCAGAAGTTGACATTAACTCAAATTCTAAGCCTGGCTAAGAAACAACAATAAGGGGCTGGGGATGTGGCTCAAGTGGTAGCGCGCTCGCCTGGCATGTGTGCGGCCCGGGTTCGATCCTCAGCACCACATACCAACAAAGATGTTGTGTCCGCCGAGAACTAAAAAATAAATATTAAAAATTCTCTCTCTCTCCTCTCTCACTCTCTCTTAAAAAAAAAAAAAAAAAACGAAACAACAATAAGAAATCATGCCTAAATCCAGTACATAACTGCTGTAAAGATAAAAATAAAGAATAAATCTTTTAAAACTAGTAATTTGAGGGGCTGGAGTTGTAGCTCAGTGGTAGAGTGCTTGCCTAGCATGTGTGAGGCACTGGGTTCGATTCTCAGCACCACATATAAATAAATAAAAATTCCATCAACAACTAATAAAATATTTAAAAAATCTACTCATTTGACAGTCTAGCAGGCTGGTAGAAACAAAGTCATAGCCACTTCTATAGAGAAAATTTGGTCTGGATCATGCAACTTTTGGCACATTTGTATATGGCCTTTATTAGCTATGACTCAGATTAAAAGTGCCAATGCCATGAGATATCCCTTGAGTATAATGAATTAACTTCTCTCTCACACATTGTAAAATGGTTTACGTTCCTTGAGAGAATTGTGAAAAAAAAAAAAGTAACCAAAATAACTTTCTGTTGTACAAATAAGGAACTCAACTGAGAATAATTGGAAAAAATGTTAACATGGAAAATAATGTAGGTAGTTTTTTCAGGGTCAAGCAGAGAAGTACACAGTGGTAAATAATAGCTTTCAAATATAAAGAATCTTACATAAAGATTGTTAAGTAACGGAACAAAGAAATCAGTACATGCCACAGCAGAACAGATATGTTAGTCAAAGAGAGGATCTTGACAGTGAGAAGTTTTAATAATTTCTTATGTATACTAAAATAAAGATGCAATTATCATTCCCAGAGGCCTTAAAAAATAAAACACTACAGGCTCTAAATTTTTAGAATTTAGACTAAATTTTTCTAAAAGGTGGAATTTATCATCTAATATTACTGTTGACATAAAGCAAAGGGTGGCAATTTTTTTTCTTAAAAGGCCAAACAAACATTTAGGCTTGCAGATTGTTATAATCTCTGTCACAACTATTCCAACTCTGCTGTTTATTGCAAAAGCAGACACAGACAATAAATACATAAACAAAAGGGATTGGCTGTGTACCAATAAAAGTTTTTTTTTGTTGTTGTTGTTTTTTTGGTACCAGGGATTATCCTGGGGGCACTTAACTACTGAACCACATTTCAAGGGCTTTTTATATTTTATTTTGAGACAGGATCCCATTAAGTTGCTTACTTCACTAAGTTGCTGAGGCTGGCTTTGAACTCATTGTTCTCCTGCCTCAGCCTTCTGAGTTGCTGGGATTACAGGCATGTACCACCACACCTGGTAACAATAAAACTTTATTGACTTTGCCAGCAAGTTTGGGCAGTGATAATTTTACAGACTGGGACTTATTTTACATGCATATTAAACAACAGTTATTTTATATTTTCTATTTACCACATAAAATAATTCATGATAAAATATAACCTTTGATAAAAAAGCAGAATGAAATTTCAAATAGAATCTGAATATAAAGAATTAATGTAGACTCTATGATTATCTGGCAATGTAAAACTTTCAAAAAATTTCAAGTGAAACCAGTGTTAAACTCAAATAGTTTCATAAGCTTAGGCATATTTCATACAATCCTAGATTTCAGATTGTTGCTATCACCAATCTATTGGAAAATTTAAGACCTACTTTGTGCACACCCTCCCCAAATTTCCTGGTGAAATAATGTAACAAAAGATACCTTAAGAGGCGTGAAGGCAGAAGAATGAAGCAGGGTAACAGCACAGCCCACTTGATTCAACCCTGACAGCGACTAAATTTCAAAAAGAGGAAGAGAAGAAACAGAAGGCAGCATTTATGTTAGCAAAATGCCAGGCAGGCAGGTCTGATCAGTGAAATTAGAGAAGGAAAAGTCATTGACAAACTTTTCAAAAAATGTTTTACCAAGGTTATTAATAAGTTTGAAGGAGAATATTTTTGGGGAAAATCCCCATCATTTATACAACACAGGATCTCTACCTGAATAATTCAGGATATTTGTAATATCTCATACCATATTAATGAAGAACCAAGAGGCATGAGTTAATAAAAATTATTTTACACAGAAATAAAACTAAGAACATCAATATTTTTAGCAAAACAGTTTTCAAACTATTGAGTCCTTTGCTGTTCCTATAGCAGGGAAAATGAACCAGTCAATTTTAACTAGGCAGAACTGGCTTCAGAACAATATTTTTTTAATATTAATCCAAATTAATTTATTATAATCCAATTTAAGGCTCCGATGTGAGAACACAGGACATAACAATTCTGCATCACACCTTAAGGATAAACCAGCATTTCATTTCTGCCTCTGTGAAATTCCAAATGACCTATAAGAGGGTAGGGAAGAATCCCCCTACCCCCTGTTTTTAATCCTTTATCTTTCACCAGTCAACATACAACTAGTTAGGTATATTACAGATATTATAAGAAATACTGTTAGAAACTAATGTCTATGTATGATTATTACTCAACATTTGAAATTAAAATAAAAAAGAAGCCATTATATAGATTTTTGATTATAGCTAAGATGGTCAAGACATAAAACTTTTTTCTTTTGCCACAAGAGAAATAAAAATCAGAGAAGATTTTTCAGAAAGGAACTGAATAAGATTTACCTACTATGACAATAAAATGGCAAAAGCTTAAAGCTATTAAGGTCTTTATAAATTAAATAATAAAAAAATTTAAACTAGGGATACATCATGGGATAAATGAACAAAAACATAGGTGAGCATTTATTTATTTATTTATTTTGGTATCGGGGATTGAACTCAGGGGTGCTTAACCACTGAGACACATCCCCAGCCCATTTTTGTATTTTATTTAGAGACAGAGTTGCTTAGGGCTCGCTAAGTTGCTGAGACTGGCTTTGAATTCACGATCCTCCTACCTCAGCCTCCTGAGCTGCTCCCGACAATGCCCAGCATAAGTGGGCATTTATAAAAGGGTCTATGTGTATTCAATAGGATAAATACACCCTTTTTTTTCCCCCCCTAGATAGGGTCTTTCTCTGATGCCCAGGCTGGTCTTAAACTTTGTGGACTTGTGATCTGCTGCCTCAGTCACCCAAGTAACTGGGATTATAGGCATGCAACACCATGCCTGATTACAACTATATTTTTAATGAGAATTAGTAGAGAACAGTATATATATTTTTTATTGACAAAAAAAGCATGTAACCAATAATGTATTTCTGTGACAAAATCTATTTTAACACAGAAACAAATATTGTGCCAAAGAATAAGACCATGACAATGTTAAGACACGTGTATGCTTCATCTGTTCAGATTTCCTAGACTTCCTTTTAATTAAATGTTTTGGAACTGCAGTCAATCTCAAATATAAAAAGTCTAGAAGCCACTGGGTGCCGTGGTGCACACCTGTAAGCCTAGCTAATCAAAAGGCTGGGGCAGGAGGATTGCAAGTTTGGGGCTAGCCTCATTTTGCAATTCAGTGAGGTCCTGTATCAAAATAAAAATACAAAAGGTTAAGGAATGCAGCTCAGTGGCAGTACAGGGAGACATAAAAGGTTAAAAGCAACAGGCACTTGAGATGCGGCCCCAAAAGAATATTAGTGTAACTGGCATTAAATGTTACTAATATGTATTTCAAATCCTAAATTACAAGGTCTTTAAATCAAATTCAACCTTTTCCTTCTTGTAACATCAGACATGTTCATGACAAAACAATTAAATGAGCAATTATTAGATATATAACATTTTTGTGTTCATTCAATAAATATTTACTGAGCACCTAATATATTCCCAGGAACTATGGTGGGGCCAGGGTATGAAAGGGTAAATATGACAGAGAATATCCTTGTGCCCCTGAAGCTTACAGTGTGGTAGCCCAATAGGGGAAATATATGCAGGGAGGGAGAGGCATTCTGGTGTAAGGAGAGAACAGCCCTTTGCAAAGATGGGAAAGGGCTTACCATATCTGTAGAGGTGGGAAAAATCCTAGAGAGACCAGATATGAGCCTGGAGAGGCAGGCAGTAGCCAGAGCACAAAAAGCATTGAGGTCTAGACTTCAAGAGCAATTTAATGTCTTCGAAGAATAATTTTGAGAATATCAAAGCTATATGATTTAAAATATGACTTAGGAAATATGATTTAAAATAGGACTCTTTTGTACAGGGTTAGCTGGATATTATTTGGCATACAAAAAAATGTGAGATTTGTTTTTAAAGGCCACCTATACTTACAAAGTCAATATGGTTCTTGGTGTACATGTTCTACCTTTCCAACATGCATACTGATAATACATACAAGTATATATGTTTTGACAAATGGTTAAAGGATGTTTCAAATTTCATGCTAAGGAAATTTTTTTTTTCAATCTCTGCTTTTTCCTTGAAAAAAACTATTGGGCACTCAGACTTATATCACTTACAATATGTGTTATTAAATCTCATATTCAGTGCCTGAACTGTTTTCAGTTACAATGTAGGAGGCAATGTAGAAAATATAGCAGGGTATTTATTGCAGGTCCTTGAGACAGACAGACCTAGACTCAAACCTTGCCTTACACTTACCAGCTAAGTGACCTTGGAAAGGCCACATTTTGGACAAGATATTCTGTGCCTCAGTAATTACTTATGAAATGGTGCTAAATTTAACCTTAACTCTTGCTATGAAAATTGAATGAGATAATTTTGTGTGCGGATCATCAGCAGTTCTATCTTTTCATATTAATTTAAACTAATTTTATTTCTCATGCCAATTCCACTAAAACTCCAGAGACTGGTGATTGTATTCATTTGTAAAACTGCCAGTTAAAATGTGCTTTATCTATCTCAAAAGAAATGAAGATTGGAGAATACATAGAAAATTTAACAAACAATGGAAGTTTCTGTAGTAGGAGTCTCACATGAAAGCATGCAATTTATATAGTATGCACAATGGCAACAGTTTCCAGCACACAGGAAAGAATTTGTTATAGACATTAGCCTTTTGAACTGCTAGTTTTCAATACTATTATAGAATAATAACATAAAACATGATGGGAAAAGCAATTCTATAAATGGTTAGAATTCTCTTGCAAGAATAATCAGCAGATAGCATTCCAGTTAATGTTTTTTTGAGTTTAAAGAATGGTCATGGAGGGATAATCTTGAGATGCAAATATTTAAAACCTAAGTCTGGGATTTTTAGTAGCTTATAATACATAATAAATAGGATACCAAATATATAATTGTATAATTAGTATCACAGAGTAAGGGGTTTCATTTAACATACAGATGACTCATGAGTCAAATTATGATTAATAAAGTACCACCTGGAATTTGAAAAGACATTTAAAAAACTCTAACATAAAGTCAATGTGGTTCTCAATGTAAATGTTTCATCTTGGGAAGCACTAACATGTGAATCATAGCTGCAGAACTCTGTAACACTTGGTAAATCACAAATGATAAAGCAGTGAAATAGTTCTAGTTGTTTATAAAGCACTTAGTAATGATGCTCATCATGTTTTATGGTATTTTACCATAATTAGATAATTTCTGAGTGAAAGCACAATAACTATTCTTCAATATCTAGAAATAGCAGCATAAAACTCCATTTTGCATAAACTCTTACCACTAACAAGGCACTATCATCAGTGTGTTGAGACCTTCTGGATGGGAAGGAACACTGGAGATGTGGAAAAAAATGAATCAAGTCAAAAACAAACCAGGCACACAAGCAATGCATTTAAAAAATACGCACACAAGGAAAGAGACATAAGTCACTTTTGAAGAGCTGACACATAGGATTATGTTCACAATCACTTGGAATTCATATACAATAGCCAATAAGCACTGATGTTCTTCTAAAGAGTTTAAACAACTTCAAATATGATCTTTTTTAAACTTTTTTTTTAATTTGTAGATGAACACAAGACCTTTATTTATTTATTTTTATTGGTGCTGAGACTTGAACCCAGTGCCTCACACATGCTAGGTAAGCACTCTGCCACTGAGCTACAACCCCAGCCCTTCAAATATGACCTTACTGCCTAAAAAACCCTCTAAGGAGGGATCTGGGGTTATTTTCTGTTCACAGAAGAGAAAGCTGATACCTGACATAATATAAAGAATTTGCAGTCATCTAGTGAACCAGTGGTAAATTTAAAAATAAATCCTAGAGACATGATTTCTGGTGTATAAATGGTTAGAATTCTCTTGCAAGGCTAATTAACTGCAGATAGCATTCCAGTTAATGTTTTTCTGAGTTTAAAGAATAGTCATGGAGGGATAATCTTGAGATGCAGATATTTAAAACCTAAGTCTGGAAATTTTTAGTAGCTTACAATACATAATAAATAGGATACCGAACATAAAGTTGTATAATTAGTATCACAGAGTAAGGGGCTTCATTTAACATACAGGTGACTCATGAGCCAAATTACATCTCTTCTTTACCTTTCTCTGTAAATAAGGTATAATTAAACAATTTAAACCTATACATTTTTTTAGTGAAGCTTTAGTTTTCAGAGAATGAATTACTCAAGAACAATCATCAAAAAGGAAATGTTGGGGTAAAAAATGGAAAATGTATTATTAAGCATATCACACTCTGATTGTCAAAGGCTTGTACAGAATTATTATTATATGAAAACAACTAAAAATGTCTCAATGACTTTTTAAGGTATTATACAAATATATAAAGTTCTCATATAAATAGAATTAGTTATTATAGTTCAATAAGATTTTAAAACACTTTTCTAATGGACATTTTTTAGAGCAGATTATGCTAAGTGAAAGTTAGCCAATCCCTAAAAAACAAATGCCAAATGTCTTCTCTGATATAAGCGGGGGGTGGGGGGGTGTGACTCAAAATGGGATAGGGAGGAAGAGCATGAGAAGAAGACTACCACTAAATAGGGAAGAGAGGTGGGAGGGAAAAAGAGGGAGAAGGGGAGTTGCACAGAAGATGGAAGGAGAACCTCATTGTTATACAGAATACATTTATGATGTTGTGATGAGAAAAAGAGAAAAAAAAGTGTCACTTTAGATTGGATAGAGAGAAAGGATGAGAGAGGAGGGGAGGAATAGGGGGGATAGGAAGGGCAGCAGAATAGACATTATGATTGATATATGTACATTCCATGTATGTATTATATGTCAAAATACATTCTGCTGTCATGTATGACTAAAAAAAAATAAATCGTATGGTACTTAAAAAAATAAAAATTCTAAATATATTTTCTCATACTAAAAAAACTTGGGTTGTCTGTCTGTCTATCTATCTATCTATCTATCTATCTATCTATCTATCTATCTATCTATGAGGTATTGGGGACTGATCCTAGTACTTCAAATTCACTATTTCCCATAGCTATTTTCCTCCAATTTGTTCATTTCTATTATTAACACAAATAATAATCTTAGAGCTTCTAGGACTATCTTGCATTATAGAGAACATTTTGAAATGGATAAGAAGGGGATGATGTCCCTAGCAGAGATGAGGAGGGTAAGAAATCTCTAGAGTGATATACATGTAGATGAATACATATAAAATCCTGACCTAGAAATTTTGATAAACTCCCTAGCCTGTATCTTCTTAAGTACAATTTTGTGATGGAAAAAAAAAGGCAATATTTTCATCACTGAAAGAATGATAATCACTTCAAAACATTTCATTCCCACTATAAAAATAATAAATCCCTCCCCCAAAGTAATTATATAGACTTACCTCACCATCTGTGGGGGGTTGTTGCTTTTGTGGACTTTGTGATGCTTTTTGCTACATGCCCCAAACCCCCACAAAAAAAGAAAGTTGGTCAGAATCTAGAACACATATTTGAAATGGTAAACTGTATTTACTAAAACAATTATAGTAATTTCCTTATTTTTTACATATAACGCTTTATGTTACACCCTACCTTAAATATTTTACAATTTAAATGAAGAAAAACAACAAACTATACTATCATATTTCTATCAGTATTTAAAAAAGAAAAAAAATTTTAAAACTTTATGTATACCTACATACACATTGTGCCATTATATTCTTTCAATATTCTCTCAATATGAACTCAATCCTTCTTCTCTAATGGCTTTAAATATCATGCTAATACTGACAACTTGAATTTTCTATTAGCTAAGTCTCAGACATTTTCAATTGCTTATTCAAACTCTACTTGGAAACTCAATGTCATTGCATTATCAACATATACAAAAACAAATTCACTATTTAGCATACCTATTTCCCCCCAATTTGTTCATTTCTGTTATTATCACAAATAACAATAATATCAGTGTATTCAGTGTTTTACAATGTGTTCTTACACACAGTTTTCTCAAGTGACTTTTCTTATTCTGTGAAATAAACAAAAACCATATCAGAGATGAGGAAACTGAGCAAAGAGCTTATGGGGCAAGTACAAATTTACACCTTTCTTCTGACCTCAAATCCTACATACTCCCCACATGCTAGATTCCCACTAAAACCTTTCATTTAGTCTCAAAACTTTGCTTTGGAACCTTCTTTTCTTCATTCATCTTCATGATTTATTCATCATTTGTCACTACATATCTATTGTGCAAAGTATAAAAATGCTTCTTTTGAAATGCCTCTTGATAAAATTCACTGTAGGGCTGGGGATATAGCTCAGTTGGTAGAGTGCTTGCCTCACATGCACAAGGCCTGAGTTCAATCCCCAGAACCATGAAAAAAAAAAAAAATCCACTACAGTGCTCTGTGTGGTGGTGCACACCTGTAATCCCAGCTACTTGTGAGGCTGAGGCAGGAGAATGGTAAGTTCAAGGCCAGCCTGGGCAATTTAGCAAGACCCTGTCTCAAAATAAAAAATGGGAATGTAGCTCAGTGGTAGAGTGTTCCTGGGTTCAACACCCCTTACTGGACAAAATCCACCATAGTAGAGTATTAAATATTAGGTATATCTATCATAATTCTGAAAGTTAACACTTTATAATTAAATATTATTAGAAACAAAAGGTACAGCACATACAAAGGACAAAGTTGGACTCAAATTCAGATATTTCTGATTCTAAACTCATGTCACTATGTAATTCTGTCAACCCTCTGTCACCTTAGAAATCTTCTAGTTTTATGTCCTCACTTTGCACCATTTTCTTAATTAATGCAATTACCATTTTATTTCTTCCTTCTAGCTCTTTCTTCCTAACCTGTTCTAACATGAGTAGACTAGTTTTTCAGAAGTATTTATATTTTTTTTGCTTTTCTCCTACTTAAGAACTTAGAATTGTTCTCTTCTGCCTAAATTAGATTATGATTTAATTTGACATTTAATCATGACCATCTGTAGTGTAATTATTTATCTCTTACTAGCTATGTAACTTCTACAACAAGCAAAGCTAAAATTGAGTAAATTTATGAAAAATGCATAGAATAGCACCTAGGGTATAGTAAGTGTTAGCAATGATCAATTATTGAGGGGCAGTATAGCATTATGGTCAGAGTAGGGTCTGGAGCCAGTCTGCTTACGAGCATTCTTGCTCTGTGGCTTACTAGCAGAGTATTTGACCTTAATCTTAGGCAAATTGTTATCCTCCCTGAGCATAAAAAGAGAATATCCTAGTACTTATCTTATTAGACTACTGGGAGGACCAAAGGAGTTAATATAAGTGCTTGAAACAGTATGGGGGGTAAATAGTGATCATTCAGTAAATTTAGGAAGTATCATCAGCATCATCTTTACCATCTCACCAATTCATTTTTTCTGTTGGTCTTCAATAAGAACTTGAACCAAGCTGGTACTCTGCTTAAGTGCCATTATTACTCTTGTTGTTTTGGTACTAGAGATTGAACTCAGGGGCACTTTACAACTGATCTACATCCCCACCCTTTTTATTTTGAGACAGGGTCTCACTAAGTTGCCCAGGCTGGCCTTAAATTTGCAATCCTCTTGTTTCAGCCTCTCTGCCTCCCAAGTAGCTGGGGTTATTACAGATATGTGCCACCATGCCTGGCAAGTGCCATTATTTTAAATGTATAACTTAATAAAGCTCGTTCCTAGCTCATGACCTATTCATAAATTCTTGCAACACAGAATAAACTCATCTTTAGACCATCATCCATTCTTTTCTTCCTGGCTACCCATTTGTTCTTCTAAGTCCCTTGTCACTTCCTTCTGAGGTCAATTCTGATACTTGTTTTCTAATTTCTCCTTTGTCTTTGATACAAAACTAGTACTTTTTATTATAAGCTATCTTATTTTCTGTTTTATGTATATATTTGTTTTCCCCTAATAAGATCTAAGCTGTGTCTGGTGGGCATAACTTGTATATTAAGCATTTTTTTATTGCTTATACAGGTACATAATAGCATTCTATAAGGATCTATCATCAAGTCAGTGAATGAATAAATGAACAAGTTAGGCTTTAGACTAAAGCCTTCTGATTATGAAAATGAATTAATTGTATATAATTACATAGCTTAATTTCCCTAGACCTGCAGATTCCTTGTCTGTGAAACATGATGAATACTCTCATCTTCTCCATTACAAAAATTAAATAAACCAGGGTTGCAGTGTGGCTTGGTGGTAGAGTGCTTGCCTGGCACGTGTGAGGCACTGGGTGCAATGCTCAGCACCACATAAAAATAAATAAATAAATAAACCGATAAAGAATTTTGATTAGTTTTAAAAGGACTAAAAAGAAGAGACATCTCAGGATAGATAGAAGGGAAAGAAGGACTGAGAGATGATACAGTTAGTTGGGATAACTTTTCAGAGCTCTATAAAGTTCTATTTGGAAGAATATTAATTTTATTTTTTTTTTGCCATTGGTCAAACAATATGACTTCTTCTTCTTCTTCTTTTTCTTCTTATTATTTAGTACTGGGGATTGAATCTAGGAGCTCTCAACCACTAAGCCACATCCCCAGTCCTTTTTATATTTTGTTTGGAGACAGCGTCTCTCTGAGTTGCTTAGGGCCTTGCTAAGTTGCTGAGGCTGGCTTTGAACTCGTGATCCTCCTGCCTTAGTCTCCCTAGCTGCTGGCATTAGAGGCATGTGCCTCAGCACCCAACTATCTGACTTAATTTTGACAGCAAATATTAGGCACTGGAACTTTTCAGATAAAGAAGAATCAGGTGAGAAAAGAGCTAAAGATCATCATTATGGGCTTGTTATATTTGGGGGGGGGGAGCAAAAATGTCAGGTTAAACAGTAAAATAGATGAGTACAGTACTTTAAAAGGTGGTCTTTGGTTAAACTTATCAAACAAAGGAAAGAAAGCTTTTAGAAGATAAGAATGATTCATTCATTTAACAAATATCTAATGAACTTTTCTGTGGGTTCAGAACTGCTAAGTTTTAGGGATATAGCAACTAAGTAAAAAAGACATGGTTCTTATCTTTGTGTAGTTTGCAGGAATATGAGAGAGAAATATTAAGCTTACAAAATTACAAACAATTAATTATGAAGAAAATTACAAAGCAATTTTAGAATGAAAAGATAAATCACACAAATAAAATAAGATGATCAAAATTCATAGGCTACAACAGAGGCTACAAAATGTTAAGAAACATTAACTGGGGATACTGAGTGGATGTAGGGAAGAAAGGGAAAGAATCACAGATGATTATAAAGGGCTGGGACTGTAGGTTAGTGGTAGAGTGCTTGCTTAGCATGTGAGCACTGGGTTTGATTCTTAAAAATTAAATTTTAAAAAGATGATTATAAAAAATGAAGACTGTGAGTTTAGCAAATTTTTGATATATTTACTAGAGTGAAGAAGTAGGAGAGAGGTTTGGACAATGAGATTTCATGCTTGCATGGCACTTTTACAGTTTACCCAGCACTTTCAGTTTTATGATCTTACTGATCTTTACTATGACTCTAGAGATCAAAGAAAGCTGGATAGTAAAGTGATATGTCCAATAGCAGTGTGCTAATTAAGAGGAAGCAATTATTGTTAAAAAGGAAGATCATCATTTTTATTATCTCATAATTACTCACTACTAGGGGAGACAGTCACTCTATTTACTCAAGATTCCTTACAATAAGAGAAAAAAAATTGATGTTTTAATTAAGACAATAAAAACTGACAGGGCTGGGGCTGTAGCTCAGAGAGCTTGCCTAGCACTTGTGAGGCACTGGGTTGGATCTTTAGCACCACATAAAAATAAATAGATAAAATAAAGGCATTCTGTCCATCTACAACTCCAAAAATAAATACATACTTAAAAAAAAAAAGAACTGACAGTCTCCACAAAACAAATAAGCACTTCTAAGAAACTTTAAGAGTATCAGTCAATGAATTCCAATGACTCACCTTGACAAAATCCAGGACAGCATCTCTCTGAATCTGCTTAGTCCTTATTTTCTCCTCCTCATATTGCAGGGCAGCAAGCTGTGCTTCTCTCCTAGTGCGCTCTACTAATTGTTCTTTTCTCCGATGAAGTTCCAAGTCTGTATATGACAGCTGCAACAAAGGTATCATTTTGTACATGCAAGTGGGGATGAGAATCAACTTATCAAGATTCCCTATTAATACAGGCAAATAATGTTAATTTAAGTAACTTTGCAGTCACCTAGCATTTTTTTCAATGTGTTTATTCCTAATCTTTTCCATCTTTGCACTTTCTTACACCTACTATAAATCTATTACTGTAGATAAAGTTTCATTTTCTGTCTGGTGCCTTAAAAACAGCAAATACCATGTGCATGTTGTATTATCTGACCAAGAAGACAGCGTACAAGAGTGCATAATTTAATGGCCACTGCAGGTTTGGCTAGAAGTCCAATGTGCTATCCATTTTGCCACAGTTAGTTACTGTAATGGCAATTTAAGTACTCCATTTTAGTTTTTAAAAATCAAAGTTGAAACATAAAAATAAATAAATCTGCTAATATTTACCTGATTGTGACTTGGTGATAGTGATAAGTGAGAAGATGGCTCAACTGGAACCCTGATCCAAAAAAAAAAAAAAAAAAAGAAAAGGAAAAATTCTTTGATACAGACACATAAGGGACAAGTGAAATGTTTATCATTACTGTATCTTTCTGTTATATCAGTAAGATGTTTAGGTAGCACTGAAAGAGTAACTGCATTTTGTAAACTTAAGACTAAGTCATTAAATTTAACCACAGAAATAACTAATGTCTCCAACTCATATTTCATGTGATGGTATCACTGATTATTCTACAGCTAGTTAACAACTGTCAGTGTCAGACGATACTGACAAACAGCTAGTTGGGATCACTTTTCAAATGGTATCATTTCTTTATGACATATACAACTATTATCTTCTTTCCTCCTATGATCAGAACAAGATACATGTAAATTGAGATCCTTTTATATACAAAGCCATTTTATCAACAGAAATCTGGAATACTACAAAACCTGGGAACTGTACTTGTAAAGCACTTCTATACTTATTTTCAACTGACAAAAAAATTTTAATAACAAAAATAAAGATTCTGTTGACTTTTATTCTTAAGAAAAAGATGAAGCTCTATTTGATACTTAAAAACAACAAATACTGGAGCTGGGGTTGCAGCTCAGTGGTGGAGCGCTTGCCTAGCATGCGTGAAGCACTGGGTTCGATCCCTGGCACCACATTAAAGAAATAAAATAAAATAAAGGTATTATGTCCATCTACAACTAAAAGATATACATATAAAATAACAGGTACTATCTGCCTCTTAGTGTTATTAATGCTAATTATTATACTCTGATATTTACCCTTTTTCTGAACCAGATTTAGTGTCTTAAGTCTCTGTAACTCATTTTTGTGCCTGAAACTAAAAATGTTGGAGTAATGACTTTCCGACATTTAGTACCTGAAATCTGAAATAATTATTACCCTTTCAGGGTGATTTAAATGCACTGAAATAAGTATGCAATCAGAGAAATAAAAACAAATCTTCAAAGCACTAATAGTTCTCATTACTCCTGTGATGGCTGTGAAAGTTAAAGATGGAGATGAACAGGGAAGCCTGGCATATGCAAATGGTAGTAAAGAAGACATCTGAATCTGAGAATGACCCAGTTCTTCCATACCAATCACCAGGTGGTAATGTTGGGCCATTACAGCTTTGTTATTCCTCAGTGTTGCCATGATCTTCATGTTGCATGACTTTTTTTTTCTTTTAATCTATGAACACGTTCTCCAATATAAGCATCTCCTACTTTTCAAATAGGATCTTTTTTTTTTTTTGGTAAAATATTGCCCTGCACATTATAGGTAGTTTAGCCTTAAAGCCTGCCAGTATCACCTGCAGCTCATTTTGGCAACCAATTCCCACAATACATAAACACATTTCCAAGTATCCTCTTGGGAGTGGTGCTGTATACTTTGTTGAGAAACACTGGTCTATCTTACAGTTTTTCTGAATTTTAAAAATATATAAGTGAACTACCAGGCATGGTGGCACACACCTGTAATCCCAGTGGCTTGGGAGGCTGAGGCAGGAGGATCTGGAGTTCAAAGCCAGCCTCAGCAATGAGGTGCTAAGCAACTCAGTGAGACCCTGTCTCTAAATAAAATACAAAATAGGGCTGGGGATGTGGCTCAGCAGTTGAGTGCCCCTGAGTTCAATCCACAGTATCAAAAAATATATATGTGTGTGTGTATCATAACAT